GGGGTGTTGGGGCTTTTAAGCTCGAGGCCTTGGGGCTTTTCAGGTCTGGGGGTCTTTGGGGTTTAGGGTCCAGACGTTCGATCGATGGCTTTAGGCAAAACTTGGGGTGGACGGAAGAAGAACGCTCTGGTTCCCCTGCTTGGAGGATCATGTACTTGGTGAGTAGGGTGCTGAATGCGTTCATTGTAGCTTTAAGTAGTTCTACTATCACATCAGCTACTATGTCCCCTGAACCTTTCAGGAGATTCTGCCGCCATCCGTTCACGCACTAACGGACCCTTATATACAACCCTGAATGGTGCAGTTGTTTTTCAGGGCTCCTGAGCCAAGTACCCCGTTTGAGAAAGCCGCCTTTCTGGGATCCAGAGGCAAGTTAAAACTCCAAAACATCATCAAACGGTTTAGGCCTAGGATTCAGGAGGGCTTGGGGTTTGTGTCACAGTTTGGGGTTGGGGTGTTCAGGGCTTACGGCCTACTTGGAGGGTCGGAGGACTTAGTAAGTAGGTAAGATGTAGAGTTATAAGTACCCTAAAAGGGATCCTAGTTGGGGTTATGGTACTTACAAGTCTCTAAAATAACTAGTTACTAAGCCCCCCGACCCTCCAAGTAGGGCTGCAACATCTCAATGGCCGGAATCTACTTACTACGAAGCCCTGCTCACAACAGCAACACCGCACCATACATCCTACACACGCCCTTATAGAGATCCACCGGCTCTAAATTAGCGCTGCTGCCTTGAAGGACATCAGGGATACTCCATAGGATATAGAGGTTGTAGCTTTAGTCTCCCCCAAATCAAACCTTAGATAAACAATCATGACTATCTCAACGCCCTGTATACACGAGGCAAAAGACCTAACTAGGGCCCCACCTTGGAAATCTCAACTAAAGGTCTGGCTTTCTGATTACTGAGGCCTGTCTACCAGCAGCGAGAGGTCGTGGGCAAATCGGCAAGCCGACCCGCGAGTACAGGTGTTCGCTGGAAAATACTTGCACCTGATGGACAGCAGTTGTGGTTTCTTGTGTCGCACAGTCTTACAAGGGTCTATACCATTTGTCAAATGGCCATTCGAAGGGTTGCATATCTATCGTCTTTCTCTCTACTGCTCTCGAAAACTAAGCACAAAACCAGTCTCTGGGAGATGCATTCAAGACAAGAGCAAATCCTTACGTAGCCTGGAAACCGAAACCTTTCTGGAGGAGAGTGCTCCATGCTCTTTGTAGGTCCTGAAACCCTACCACGAATCCGCCAAAACTGAACCCTAAACCCTGAACCCTTGTCCCAAACCGTGGCCCAAGACCCTAAGCCTTAAGCAAAAAGTAAGACCCAAACCCTGCATGTCGGAGCTTTGTCTACGCACCCGAAACGTGTAAAGGTTGGGCATTGGGGATCTAAGATAAACCCCTAAAACTCACACCCAGCGGTTGATGTTCAGGGTGTCAGGGGCCTAGGGTCTCTATCAGGGATTGGGGTCTTGGGGCTTTTGGCTTCGATTTTGGGGGCATTGCGCTTAAGGCTTAGGCTCAGCACCGATCTGGGTGCCCGGCAAAACCGTCTTCTTGACTTCTGCAGGTGTGAGTTGGGCACCTAGGTTTCGGATCTAAGGGTTTAGGGACTTAGGGTTTAGGGCCCTAAACCCAAAACCCTAAACCCTAAACCCCAAACCCTAAACCGGGGCTGAGGAGACAGGGTTTAGGGCCTGGGGCCCCTAAACCCCTAAACCACTAGACCCTAAAGCCCTAAACTCTAGCTACTTCCCCAAGAAGCCACAGAAGTGAAAGGTTGAAACTTCCGATTCCTACATAAGAGCCCAAAAAGTTTAAAGGCTGGGTATTGGGGATCTAAGATAAACCCCGAAAACTCACGCCCAGGGGTTGATATCCCCTAAACCCCTAACCCCTAAGCCCGTGACCCCTTGACCCCTAAACCCCTAAACCCTAAACACCTAACCCTAACCCCTCAAAGCCCTGAGCCCGGACCCGGCAATTTCAATGGCGGATGAGATGAATGTTTGGGCTGCCCGAGTTTTGCCTTTGAGCACACCGTTTAATGGCACAGCACCCTTTGAGTGTCTCGGTGCTGGCGCTTTGGGTTTATGATTAGGGTTTAGGGTTTAGGGTTTATGATTTGGGTTTTCGGGACTTGGGCTGTACCAGGCACTAAACTCCCTGCAACCGGAACAACTCTGCAGTGCCAGACCACCCAAGCCCAAGCCTCACAAGACCTTGCATCCCAGAAACTGACCAATCCTGGATCAAAAGCCTAGAGCTCTGGAAAATGTACCTGGCGGAAGGTCACATCAGGGTTGCCCTTACACCTCCTACCCTACGATCCTTAGCTACCCTACTTCTTTTCGACACCCTGCATATATGCCAAGGAACCCCTAAACCCTAAACCCTAAACACAAACCCTAAACCCTAAACCCTAAACACTAAACCCTAAACCCTAAACCCTAAACCCTAAACACTAAACCCTAACCCTAAACCCTAAACACTAAGACCTCCACGCATCTTGTGAAATGCTAAACCTCGCACTGGGCCCTGAAGAAGTTTAAGCTCGCACGGCCTTCTAACATGAGGGCCTTGATCATTACCTATAGTATTTGGGGGTTCCTGATTATAACTATAGAACTGCTGACAGCACACTCCGCCCTGAAGTTCTACAAGTTGGTTGTCGATCGGCAAGACACATGCTTTCGTGAGCAGGCTTAGACCACACCGTGCGGCGCTTCAGGCACGAACTTTCTGTTCGGGGTTGAGGGCTGCGGACTCTAAAGTTTCAGGTCGCTTTTAGAGATTCGGGTTTCATGAACTTTCAAGTTTCGCGGCTTTGGCCTTGTGTGTAGAGTTGCGGGCTTTTGGGCTCAGGATTCTCAAAGACACCCATCAGAGCTTAGTCGTGCCGAGCGTCTCTTGTTCCATTCCAAGGAACTTGACATGAAGCTGTGCACCAGTGCTTCGTGGACGCGACCATTAAGTTGCGATCACAAGGCGAAGGCACTGTACAGCACGCAGTAGCGAGCACAGCTTCAGGGCTATAGGGATTGCGGTCGTCGGGTTCGAAGTTCGGCTCTAAGAGTTTACGGCTTTCGCGTCAAGGATTCGGCTTCACGGTTTCATCAGATCTTAATATTCATCTCTAGGCTCCGGAAAACCCTATGCTACATTGAAGCTGATCTTCATACACCGGAGGCTTTTCGGTTCATGGAGGCTGATAGTTGCGCTGTGTTTGTTTAGCTAGCAGGCACCCGTTCCTCCAGGCACACCCTAAGCCCTATACCCCAAGTTGCAGCTTAGCACAGTCTCCGCACATGCTGCATTCGGCTACTGCTGGCTTTCTTTGCCAGTCTGGAGAGCCTTTTGAGCCGAAAAAGCACGGAAAAACCACTCGCCGCTTGACGATTGGAGTTCGGTCCTGGGAGGGTGTCGTGTTCTATAAGATCTATAGAAGGAATTCAAGGGGACGATATCGTTACACCTTCCGACCCCCGCAGTAAAGCCGGAACCCTGCGTCGATTGAGGTTTACGTCCTAGGTGTCGATTTCAATAGCCCCCAACACGTTTTACTGAAACTGGCATGAAACTAGTCTAGGATACCCAGTAACCTAAGAATAAAAAGGCCTCTCTTTTTGGTATTGGGTAGCTTTATAAGGAACCTAGGACTACAAAAAGGGAATAAGGGTACTACTGGGCATCCTAGTAGTAAAGACATCAAACATTGAACCACATCGGTACCTCGTAGAAGCTCAAGGATCGCCTCATGCACTCCTGATGAAGTAAATTCTTCGCATACCCAAACCTGAAAATGGGTTTTTAAGGCTTTGAGATTTAGGGTTTCAAATGTAGGGTTTACTTGGACGGTCGGGGGGACTTAGTAAGCAAGTATTCTATAGACTTATACGTATCATAACCCCAATTAGGATCCCTTTTAGGGTACTTTACTATAAGTCTACATATCATCTACTTCAAGCAGGACTTAGGACCCACTGAAACTCGGAAGTCTTAGTGCCAATGCGTAGGTGCTCAGGGTCTTATGCGGTTCTTGTTTTAGGGGTTTCGCACTGCGGGCTTCCGAATGAATCATGAACCCCAAACCCGCAACCCTCAATCCTTTACCCTGTCCCCAAGTAACGAAGCCTCCTTTCAAGCTATTTCGGGGCTTAGGGTTTTGGGGATTAGGATGTTGATGTTCGCTGGATTTCTATGGGACTCTCCTAGACTTAACCAACTCAACATCTTCAGAGTTCAAGCTGGCAGGTCCAGGTGTTCGAAGCTGTCTCGCGATTCAGGTGTCAAGACTTGAACCCTTCACCCTACACTCTAATCCCCATAACACCCTAAACCCGAAACCCTACACCCTGAACACTATACACTATACACTAACCCCACAGCCCTACACCCTCAGAATCCTACACCCTCAACCCTATCTCAAACCAGAATGCTGAACCCTACACCCTCAACCCTATACCCAAAACCCCACACCCTAAACCCTAAACCCTAAACCCTAAACCTAAGCATCAAGACCTGGAAGCCTGAAGCGATCCATTGGCTTCTCAGAGAAGGGGCTCTGGCGACTGCGGGTTCAGGGTTTCCCAGAGAGCCCAATACCCGTTAGTTAAGGAATATGGCTTGGAATAGGGCTTCATACTATGATTTTAGCAATATTCCTTAATTAAGCGGTACTGGGCTCTCTGGGTTCGGGTTTAGGGTACAGGGTTTAGGATGCTTTCGGGTATAGTGTTGGGGTTTAGGGTATAGCGCACAGGCGGCACAGGGTTTAGGGTGTAGGGTTGAGGGTTTAGGGTGTAGGGTTTGGGGTGTAGGGTTTGGGGTGCTTTAGGGTTTAGGGTTTAGAGTCTAGGGTCTCAAGTAATTAGGATCGGTTAGGGTTTAGGGTTTATTTTTTTTATTAGGGTTTATTTAGGGTCTAGGGTTTATAGTAGTTAGGATCGGATCCCTTCTTTCAGGACAGCGACGTAACCCCTACTGGGTGCCAAGGCGATGATGTCCTCTGTTCCACACGCCGCCAAGGGATGGGCTCGCCTGGTCAGATTTCGGGTTTCGGGCTTAGGGTTTAGGGTTCAGTTGAAGGGCATCGTGAAAAGAAATACGTCCGAGATATCTGCCAGCTAACATAAAAAACTTATACTCATCCCCAATCTCAGGCTGTCGAAACTCACACTCTGGATCTACACTAAATTTTCCAGCGTAAAGCTGCAAGACCCTGAAGAGCCCTACATATAAGATCTAATGCACACGACCAAACACTCCAACCCCCGAACGGGCTACATCCGATCAAAGTGCAACAGGGTAAGAGGAGTAGGAGTAGGAGTCGGAGTAGTAGGAGTAGAAGGAGTAGAAGCAGTAGAAGGAGTAGAAGGAGCAGAAGGAGCAGTAGGAGTAGTAGCAGTAGTAGGAATAGGGGGAGTAGTAGGAGTAGCAGGAGAAGCAGGAGTAGTAGGAGTAGTTGGAATAGCAGAAGAAGAAGTAGTAGTAGTTGTAGTAGTAGTAGTAGTAGCGGGAGTAGTAGTAGGAGTAGGAGTAGTAGGAGTGGTCAGAGTAGTAGGAGTGGCAGGAGCAGGAGTAGTAGGAGTGGTAGGAGTGGTAGGAGTGGTAGGACTAGTAGGAGTCGTAGTAGTAAATGCAGGAAATAGAACCATAAGTTGAAGCACGTACCCGGAACACTGAACTAAACTTCAACCCCCTCCAACCCAAACGGCGAGAAACCTGGCTCCCATGACAAAGTAGGGGACCCCTACCCGTAGGGGACCCCTACCCGAAATCCTGAAAACCCTAAAATATATAAATCCTAGATCCTAAACCCTAGAATATGCCCAAAACCTCAAACCCTGAACCCCCCAAACCCTAAACTTAGGCCCTAAACACTGAATAGGAGCGGGGCCCCGCACCCTGGAGCGCCCACGCCGCATCGGAGCTTCGCCGTGTAGTCGTTGGCGTCCCAGAGCCTGGGCTATGCCAGGCTTCCGCAAGAAACGGTGCAGAGCTTTGGGGTGTTGGGGACTAGTGTTTAGGAATATCGATAAGCAAGTTGAAAATAACGGGAAAGAGGGGGGTGGGATTAGTGCTTGGGAGTATCGATAAGCCAGTTAAAAAACATGATGGGAAAGAAAGAGAGAGAAAGAGAGGACACACATCCATGAATCCAATCCAAGTGCAACATCTATCTATTTGCCGATGTATCTATACATCTTTCTTTCTGTCTGTCTCCGTGGAAACCTGTCTGTCTGTCTGACTGTTTGCTATTGAGATTTCGAGCTGGAAAGAAGCACCAAACCCTCAACCGAAACCATGGCTTCGGGCAGCTGAGAACTCAAATGAACAGCTGCATAGGAGGCTTCTACATACATACATTTGTATATAGATATAGATAAAGATAAAGATATAGATATAGACATAGAAAGTATACGCATGCTCACGTTTATGTACATATGATTTTAAACGGCTGAATGCGCATATACATGCATACCTCTGGCGCACAACAACTGTTCATAACCTTAATCCTAGACTCTCAAGCTTAATCGCCAAAACAATAAACCCTAAATTCTTCGCCCCTGAACCCTACACCCCTAAACCCAAAACCAAAAAAACAAAGCCCAATCTAACCCCTAAACCTCTAAAACCTAACCCCTAAACCTCTAAACCCTAAACCCCAAACCGCAAAAACTAAACCAAAAAAGCCCAAACCCTAAACCACCCCAAGCTGGGCAGCGCACGCTACGAGACCATCACCGGAGCAGGTGAGGAAGTGATCCGAGATCTAAGCGCACGGAGCTGTGGGTGTCTACCTTAACCTACCAAACTCTACTTTTTTGTAGGGTCCCTATAAATTCCATATTAGGGTTTATACTAAGAACCTACAAAAAAGTAGGGTTCGGTGGTTTGAGGTAGAGTAGCTTCCCAGAGACTCCAAAACCCCTTAATTAAGGAATAAATCTGAAATCATAGTAGGGATCCTCTCATAATTTAAGGTATATTCCTTAATTAGGGGGTTTTGGAGTCTCTGGGTTTCAGGGGCTTGGGGATAGGGTTTTAGAGTTTAGGGTTAAGGGTTTCGCGGTTCAGGGGCTTGGAGGCTTAAGGGTTTAGGGATTTAGGAGTTTAGGGTTTGAAGCTAGGTTTACGGCTTCGGGCTGCGGGCTCGGAGAAAAACTCCAAACTCCCTTGCTTGAGGATCGCTTGGAAAGGCTTGTAAGGACCTCAACACGCAGAATTCCGCCCACGTCACAAAATCTGAGGCTCCAGCACCCGCCAGGTAGGCCACATCATACAAAGCTCCCGGTGAAACCTCCGGGTTTCGACTAGGTTTAGGGTTAAGGCCTTAAGAGCCCCTACCCTCCAAGGAAACTCTAAACCCGAAACTCTAAACCCTAAACTCCAAACCCTAAACCCTAAACTCTAAACCCTAGACCCTAAACTCCTAAACCCCTAAACCCCAAACCATAAACTCTAACCCCAAACCCCTGAAAGGGCCTATAGCGGCTCTCAAGGCGTAGCTCCGAGCTTCAGACTGGAGCCCTGTTTCGCAGTGGCCTTAATAATTAGAGTATGGGGTTCCTTTACAGGGATCCTTAAGGGAGTTTCCGAAATTGGGGGACCCTAATATAGTACCCTGAATAGCAGGATTCTTATTATGAGGACCCCATGTACCCCTTTCGGAAACTCCCTTAAAGGGTTCTACAAGGAATCTATAACAGGGGCGTATGATATAGGGGCCTTAAGAATCAGAGTATGGGGTTCCTTTAAAGGGATCCTTAAAGCTTAGTTGCTGAGTTCGTGAACCCCAAAAAATGTACACTTTCAGTTCTATAGTGGGTTGAAATTATCCCAAAAAGTTTAAAGTGCATCCACTAAGCTACTAAGAAAGGCTTCTATAAGGGATCTATAACAGGGGCATATGATATGGGGGCCGTAACACTTAGAATGGGGTTTTGGGGCCCATTGTACTATACTTATGGTAAGAGCAGCGACCCTGTCAGACTGGCAGGAGATAGCACAACCGAAACCCACCCTAAGATAGGGGCCTCACTGATTAGAAACGGCTTTGCGGGTATACTGTAGAACAAGCATGTTGCGGAACCCTAATCCATTAAGCCCTAAACCCTAAACTTTGAGTCGTCGTAATCCATTGCATTCAGAAGGGGCTGCCCTCTCCCTCCATATTTCCCAGAGGGTCCATATGCAATACCATTATGGAAATAGGTCCCAAAAGACCATCACTGTTATCTATACTGAACTTAGAACCCTAGCAAAAATTATAATTTTAGCAGTTTCTTAGGGATTATAATAACCAAAAATTAAAAGTTATTTCTAAGTACCCCTAAGTTATGGTTCTGGGGACCTACCACTAGAATGGTAGTATATACGGACACCCTGGCTTTTGGATTTCAAAGCCCTGAACTTAGACTCGCGCGAATCTCCTTCCTGCAGACTCCGGTGCCCTTGAAGAAGATGGAGCAAGGAGTTTAGGGCTTGGGACTTCTTAAGGTTTAGGGCTCTGGGGTTTGTATGGGGGGTTGGAGTTGTTAGGACAACAAGTTTACAGTTTGTATGGGGTGTCGAAGACAACTTTCCAAACCATCAACACTCAACGCCTGAAAATCAGCCATTCAGTCACTCGACGACCGGTCTTTGGCTTCATGGCACGTCATACAGATGATTGCAGCCAAAAAAGTATTTTCTGTCCATTAACCCTAAACCCTAAATTCCTAAACCCTAAACCCTAAACCGGTCATGCAAATGCTTGCAGCAAACAAAGTTCTTCGTCCTCTGCTTGAAGCGGTCGAAAGCTTGGTCGGCCGGCTGCCCCCAGAGACTCCAAAACCCCTTAATTAAGGAATACACCTCAATTCGTATTGGGATCCCTACTATGATTTAAGGTATATCCCTTAATTAAGGAATAGACCTTAAATTATAGTAGGATCCCTAATATGGTTGAAGGTATATTCCTTAATTAAGGGGTTTTGGAGTCTCTGGGCCCTTTGGTCAACCAGCCCCCGGGGCTGCTCTGTTGCTCCCTTGGTACCTGTTAAGGGCTCCTCTAAGGGCTCTGTAAGGGTCCCTATAAGGGCTCTATACGGGTTCCTATAAGGGCTCTTTACAATTTCCTATAAGGGCTCTATAAGGGTTCCTCTAAGGGCTCTATAAGGGTTCCTCTAAGGGCTCTATAAGGGTTCCTATAAGGGCTCTATAAGGGTTCCTCTAAGCGCTCTATAAGGGTTCCTATAAGGGCTCTATAAGGGCTCCTATAAGGGCTCTATAAGGGTTCCTCTAAGGGTTTAGGGGTTGGTACTTGGAGGACTTAGTAACTGGTTATTTTGGAGACTTATAAGTACCCAAAACCCCCAATTAGGATCCCTTTTGGGGTACTTATAACTCGACTTATAACCCTACTTGCTGCGTCCCCCGACCCTCCAAGTAAGATCCCATTCTCGGCATCGCCCCAAGCCCCTCCCTGCGCTCCAGTTCGCCCACCGAGCTGCTATGGGTTCCAGTAGCTTCAGCCTCGAAATGCCAATCTCCAAAACCGAAAACCGAAACCCTAAACCCTAAACCCTAAACCCAAAACCCAAAACCGAAACCCTGAACCCACAAATCCTTAACCCAAAACCTGAAGTCCCAGCCGTAAGCCTTAGCCGCTCAATGCCGGAGGGCAATATCCTAAGTACATGAAACCGAAGGAACTATGAGATAGTCCTGCTTTGGACGGTGACAGAAGCCTATCAAACTCTACAAACACTAACACCCATCATGAATAATGCAGGCATTTGTCCATCTGTAGCATGGATGACTCCTGCCTGGCTGTGCGGCCGAATGGACAAGTCCTGCGAAGGGGCCAAGCGCAATGCAAAAGTGATGATGCATAGGGACCCTTAGGGGGGTAGGGGGGAGGGGGAGGGGGGTAGGGGACTATAATTCCTTGCATAAGCCTTATCAGTCCTTGTTTTAAGTATTACGGCCCCCTGCCCCCCTCCCACCTACCCCCCAAATCGTAAACCCCTAAACCCGAAACCCCTAAACCCCAAACCCCTAAGCACCCTAAGGGTCCCTATGAATGATTCACCAACATTGACGGGCTGGGGGGTTTTGGCTTAGGCGACAGGACTTCTCGGCATTCGCACGGTTTTGGATGCCTTGCGAACATGTACATACATCTACATATACATACACATACACATATACCTATACATATACATATACATATACATGTACATATACATCTACATATACATATACATACATATATACATATACGTATACAGGCATACAGACATACATGCACACCTACATACATCCATCCATCCATGCATTCATGCATCCATGCATTCGTGCATTCATGCATGCATACATACATACGTGCATGTTAATGTTTATACATGTACATGTATGCACATGTGTGTGTCTATAGGTATGTATTCACATACATATATATATATATATATATATGTGCGCAAACACATATATGCTTGTTTAGGTGTGTGTGTGTGTGTGCATACGTATGCCCATGTAATGGTGTATGTATGACGGACTGTATGTATGCCGGTATGCATGTATGCATGTATGTATGTATGCATGCATTGTGTGTATATATGTTATATATATATATATATACAACTTCCTCCAGAAATGGGAAGTAAGTTTACGCGTTTAGGGTTTAGGGGGCCCAAGCTTCCAGTTTCCTAAATCGGAATCCCTAAACTCTGAACTCTCCCAAGTCAGGAACCGCACTGGGATATGACCACGGTAAGTTCTACAAGATTTGGAACATGGATCGAGCATGCCAAGTGCACGTTAGTTTTCTGGTGTCTGCTTTACGCTGGTTTGCTGGTTGAGGGTTCGGCATTTGGCTTCTTGTTGGACCAGGTCTTGGCCTTAGGGTTTGCCTTTACCCCTCAATCCTGAACTGCAAAGCAAAGCAAACGTCCTAAACCCTAAACTCCAAAAACCTTGAACCCTGAACTCCAAAAGCCCTACACCCTAAACTCCAAAAGCCCTAAACCCCGAAGGCTCCAAAACCCGAGCCCGAAACCCTCCAGGCAGACATCAATCCCAGGAAAGCTAACGCCCTAAGGACATAATTTGGAGGCCTTGATAATGAGGACAGGGTTTTAGGGGTTAAGAGGGTTCCTTTAAAGGCTCCTTACAGGGTTCTATCAGGGGTCTATAAGAGGACTCTATGATATAGGCCCTAATTAGAATAGGGCTTGGGGGTACATTATAAATTATAGTATAATTACAGCACGGAACCCTAAGGGAAAACATTGGCAATTATGTAGGCTTCTACATTAAACAGTAGCACACAAAAGGCATCATGCCAGGCAGCCTTTTTCTTTCAAAAAAAACAATTCTGACCTCTGTCTCAGGTACTTGACCGCAAGGCACTCCAAGGTTTGGTACGTTTCGGTGCGGTGGATGATACAAACCTTGCAGTACCCTCATGGCCCTGGACTATGGGAACTATGGTATATTCCTTCGTCTGGATACTGCAGGATTTACATTATCAACGGTAGTTTCTATTCGAGTCGCGTGTTTGAAGTCTCGAGCGAAGAGAAACACCTAAACTCTAAAACCCTAAACCTGGAAACTGCAGGTTGAGGCAAAACCATCCCTGAAACCAAAAGCACTTGAAGCCCTAAAGCCTCGAACCTGAAAGCCCTAAAAGCCCTGAGACCAATCGTATAACCCGGACAGATGCGCTGATAGGAACCTGTGGAAGATACCGGATAGGAATCCTCCCAGGAACGCAGAACGCGTGGCGTAAGCCCTAACGGAACCCTTAAAGAAGACCTGAACCTACATATAAGTATGCCCCCCCTTAGAACCGCACATTTTTGGTAGTCTCTTGGGTTTTACATGCTCAGAAGCAAAAATACAATTCCTAAAGAGACTATAGTGAAAGGCCCTGTAGCCGAAAATAGGGCCCTCAGAGTCTAGGGGTCTATACAAGGGTTCAGGGTTTAGGGTTTAGTGTTTGGGGTTTAGGGGTTTAAGGGCTTAGAACCCTCAACCCTAAACCCTAAAGGTTTAGGGAAAAGCCCTGAACCACAAAATCACGGAGAAGCGCTCCTTGGATCGTATCAGGTAGGAAGTACCCAAGGTCGACACCTCAGAATTCTACTGAACTTAGACCCCTAGCAATCACTATGTAACACTTCTATATTTTAGCTGGTTCTTGGGGAGTAAATACAGGAACCAAGAGTCCAAAATATTTGTAAGCACCCCTTAGAATCGGAATTTGCGGGTTCTTGGAAGGGTTTAGGGTCTGTGGGTTGCCGGGGTTCATAGGCGCAGGATATCGGAGTTTCCGAAATTTAGGGGTACCTGATTTTGGGGTCCTTATAATAAGGATCCCACTATTTACGGTGCTACATTATGGTCCCGTATTTGCGGAAACTCCCAAAGAGGAATTCGGATTTATATATTCAAGGGTTTGGGTCGAATGAAGGAAAATAGACGGGACGGAATCTGCCTTATTGGGACCCTCATCAGAAATGGTTCAGGGCTCCGGAGTTCGAGGTTTGGGGTTTCAGGGTAGGAAAAGGCATTAAATTTAGGATTTGGGTGCTTGTCAAAATTATGGTCCCTTTTTGAGTGCCCTAAATATTCGGTGCCACATTAGAATAAGGACCCAAAAAGGGACCCTAATTTTGGCAACCACCCGTTTCATGAATTAGGCTTCAGGCTTTCGGGTGCAGGGAAGATGACTAAGCCTGGGTCTTATGGCTTCGAGTTTGCTGCTGAAGGCTTCAATCTCCCTGCTGCTAGTGCATTTACAGAAAAGCTTGCAGAAAAGACTAGGCTTTAGAGGATTTGTTGGAGCCTGAAGAGATACTTTGTAGCTGCATTATCTGGCTTGCACCGCCTTTCTGTTAATTTCCAACTTCCTGTCCGGCCATACACGATGCTGGATTAAAAAGTAAACCCCAAACCGAGGGTTCTGGGCGTTTTGGAGTCGAAAAATGAGGTCGGTTTCGAATACATTATCCCTCGTCTTTGAAAGACTGTGGTAACAAGAGCTATTGGATACTATAGGGGCCTCACTAATGAGAATGGGCCTTAAGGCCCATTATGGAACAATCATACAAAGACAAAAAGGGGGATACTCACAGTACTTCTTTTGACCACCATCTTACTTCTTCAGGTGACAGAGAAGCCTTAGTCGACAAACAGGACTACTGTGTATAGCACAGCGGCAACAAACTTAAAAACAGAACGAAAACCCGTCAACTCAAGATGTAGGCTTTCTGGTCTGGGGTGTAAGCTTTAGAGTTATACAGGATCGCCTGCTTGACTCGTAATGTCACAGCAATGCTCCCTTTGACGTCCATTCGTACCAATCAGACTCATAATTTTGCAGGGCTGATGGGCAGTACTACCTTTTCATAGGCTTCCGTGGTATACCGCCTGCTAAGCGCACTTCTGCGCAATCAGCCGAGGCCTGCACAGCCAAAACCTGCAGCGCGGAAACAGCACACAAACCGTAGTTGTAAGGGGACTGTAAAAGGGTTGTGCATTGAGACCCCATGTACTGTCACGGATTCAAAAACCTCAACTCTACTTTAGGTCTGAAGGAAAAGGTCGAAAGGATATCTGCTTCTGTCCCTCTTCACGATTGAGAATCTACTTGGAGGGTCCGGGGACTTAGTAAGTAGGTAGTAAGTAGACTTAGATGCACCCTAGACTAAACGGGATCCTGATTTGGGAAATGGTACTTACAAGTTAGAAGGCCCACTGGCCTCCAAACGTAGGGCCTAGGGGCGTGAAGGGGCAAGGGGGATAGATATTCACGGGGCAGCCTGGGTAGCCATACCGATTGTAGTTCTGCAGCATGCACATAAAGATCTGGGATGTCTCTGGCAGTATGCTTGCAATTGTGGTCCCGATTTCAGTCAAGTGAGTTGAACATATCAAGCGTCCTTTTGCATATTAGCAGGCCGACGACCACGTGCATCATCATTTTCGTGGGCCCAGACCATGTATCTAAGGCATGGCGCGATGCAAGCAATGTTTCGATGTTAGGTGGGCTTTTCATATCTCTTGCAATAATTTGCAGGTTAATGTTCATATTTGCTGATGCTCCAGGAAATATAAACTCGACCTTCAAAGTTGTAAGTCTTACAAGTCTACGGAATAACTACTTACTAAGTCCCCCGGCCCTTCAAGTAACTATTAAGCCAAACAAAAGCATTGAGGCCGCTCTGTAGACAGCTTCTATAAGGTTGGCTGCTGGATCTTACATCGAAGCTGACACCCCATGCCGCAACTTGAGGGCCTGAACAATGTGAAATCGGGCTTTGTCGTCAGAAGCACGGAACCCCAGGAAATTGCCGTTCTCCAGGCTTCTATATTCGATGTAAAGTCTCGTGGCCACTTACACTCACATATGTAACTTGCAAAATTAGGATTTCGTTTAGGATCCTGTCTACAATAAGGGTACCATACTATTTTGATAAGCTAAAGCGGGACCCTTTAGCGAACTACACACAGATATAAACCACTTAACGACTCACTGATCGAACGAAACCCTACAATCATCTTAATCCCTAAGAGGGTTTAGGGTGCATGGTTTCTCAAGGCAGGCAAAAAGCCAAAACCTTAAAGCCGAAACCCCACAGCAAAAAGTTCAACTGCACCCAAAATCCTGAACCCTTAAGCCCTCGATCCAAAAATCCTAAAGCCAAAGACGGGCGGCACTCCGGGCAGTGGTCTTTGGCCGTCGGCTGACGAACGAATTTATCCTTGTTGAACGCCCCTTTTTCAGAGCATTCAGAATAAATTGAAGCATTCAGTGATTGATGGCACTTCTCAATACTGTCAGTTAGGAACTCCTTGATGTTGATGATTTGCTTCGTCTGGTCGGTCTGCTCAAGGATGAAGCGGAACCGCCGACCTCTCGGCAGGCACGGCCGTCGCTGCCTTGCCGCTGTCGTCGGCGGAAGCCTTTCGCCACCGGACATCCTTTCACCGCCGACATCCAGGCGGGAGTCTTTCGCCGCCGGCTGTCCTCGCATCGCAAACCCTCCAAACCCTAAACCTTCAAACACCCAAACACTGAACCCTAAGACCCTAAAGCTTCAACCCTACCTCCCCCCCTCGACCTTCAGCAAACCAGTAGATCCTGAATTTCTCACCATTAAGTCTTAAACAGACCTAGGGTTGAATCCCCTAGAAGGCCTATCTAAGGGGCCCATACTTCCAAGCTTAGACTAGACCTACTTTAGAAACCCCCTACTACAGAACCCTTATAAGGAACGCTTATAGATTCCTATCATAGACACCCTACAGTGCCCTTTTACGGAAACATGCTCGGACCCTTTTAAGGAACCCAAATATAACCACTACAAGGAACCCTTATTATAGAACCCTATTGTATAACCACCCTACAAACCCTGATAGAACCCTTTTAAGGAACCCTAAACGGCCGACCTCCGCAGCGTCCGGCGCCAGCGAGAGGGACGTCAGTGGCCCGTCGAGCCGAACCTGTCTCTCCTGGTGAAGCCAAGAGGTTAAACTTTCCGATTCCTGCTAAACTACAAGAACCCAAAAAAAATTCAAGGTTGGGTATGGGAGATCTAAGAGATCTCAACTCGGGTTTAGGAGTTTAGGGGTTTAGGGGGGGCCTCTCCTGGTGACAACCAGGCGGGAAGCCAAGAAAACATCCTCGGGTTTAGGGCCCTTCAGGAGCCTTGAGAGGCCTTTAGGGACCTTAAGGCTTCAGGCTTCAGGGTTTCAGAGTTTGTCGGGGCCTGGGGGTTCGGACTTTTGGGGTTTGAGGCTTCTGCTTGTTGTGGGCTGTGCGAGGACCTTGAGGGCTCAAGTACGCAAATTCGATATAGAGTTTATAGGAGGGTTTCGAGTTATGGGTATACTTTGGGTGGAGACGACTTCCCGTTTGGGGTAGCTTCTGGGTCGAAGCAGGTGGACCCGGGGGTGGAGATGTACTGGCGTATGTGCATGTATGTATTCAGGTACGCATGCATACGTGCATGCATGTATGCATCTATGCATGGGTGCATGGGTGCATGTATGCATGTATGCATGTATGCATGCGTGTGTAGTTGTGTAAAAAAGTGAGTACGTAAGTGAGAATAAGTATGTATGTGTGTGTGTGTGCGTATGTGTGTATGTGTGTATGCATGCATGTATGTATGGATGTATGCATGTATGTATGTACATATGTATGTATTCGTACATGTATGCATGTATGCATGCGAAGTGTACTACTTGAAATGGCAGCAACAACGACAATAAGAAACGGTTTACCTATATTAACAAACAGATGTAGGCATAGGTATTGTAGGTACCTGGACAGATTGTTGCAGATATAGAAAATTCCAAAAAGTTCACACAGCGGCTTGTGCGTGAACTAGGTAACCAGGGTATTACAGTAGAAGCCAGAAAGTTGGAACATGGCTTTAGGAGGATTAGTGCTAGGATCCCTTATACTTTACCTTAAGGGCATGAGGAGTCTGATGTTCCAACTTTCTGGCTGCTGCTATATGGTATGTGCCCTCTTAGGGATAAGCGGGATTTTGCCCAACAACAGTCTGAAGAAATGCGTATAAACCCACTGTTCTTTGCCGACCTAAGGTACCCTAAACCTCAAACCAAACCAACTCTCTCCGGTCATGCCGTCCTCCCTCAGGTCCAGCGGCGAGGACCCCGCAATGACCTGATACACATGCAGCAGTATAGGGTCCAGGGTTTAGGGTTAGGGTACTTGGAGTTGTACGGCTTCCAGTTCGCAGTTTCATGGAAGCTGCGAAGCCTTTCCAATCCTAAAGTCCTAAACCAAAATTTCCTAAAGTACTGGGGTGAAAGACTCCTGATCTGGTGTCTGTGGTTTAGGATCTATGTACGGGTGGCGGATCTGGGCGCAAGTGCGGGTGTTTGAGGGCTCTGGATTTGCGCTTCGGGTGTTGAACATCGGGTTGAGGGGTTTTGGGGATTCGGATTTGGGCCTTGTGGAAATTGCTGTTTGGTGTATGCCGTTAGAAGATCATAAAACAAGGTTCGACTACTTCCGAAAACCCGCTGCTTGACATGAAATGCGACCCTTACCTTGAACCCAAGTTTTTATCGTAAAGATTGAAAGTTCCAGGGTTACGGCGCAGGGGCGAGTAGTTTCCCAGAGCCTCCAATATCCCTTAGTTAAGGAATATACCTTAAATCATATTAGGGATCCTACTAAAATTTAAAGTATATTCCGTAAATAAGGGATATTGGAGTCTTTGGGTTAATGGCTTCTAGCTGCTATCGGGTTATGTAGGCTGAGGGCTTCGAGCACCTGCGACGGGAAGTTTACCACGGACTCCACATTATTATTATTTGGCCCCATTTTGGAGCACTCCCTAAACCCAAAACCCGAAATCAGAACTCCCGCAACCCGAAACCTCTCGAGACCTTGAGGATGCTTCCATAACCTGCACCAGAGAAGCCCGCAACGAGGAAAGCTGAGAATGCCGCAGTGACAGTGCCGTCGCCGCCCACCACTACCTTTTGGGGGGCGAGTCGCTGTCTCTAGTACTGCCATAAAGAACCCTAAACCCTAAACCCTAAACCCACCCTGAGAGTTTGCAAGGGCTTCATCAGGTACGGCGTCTGAGAAGTCTGAGAAGGTCTGATAAGGCTTTCACGCAGGGGGTGTTGCGGTTTTATAGCATGTTATGAAGGGTTTGGGGTCCGGGCGTACGGCTCTGGTTTTGGATTCAGCTCCTAAAGTCTGGAAATCAGGAGTATTATAAGTAGGCGATATCGGGGCCTCAAGCCGGGCACTGACCGGAAGGCATTGTGTGTTAGTAATTACCAGGCTCCTGGCGACAGCGGACGAGACTTGCAACGATGGCACCCTCCGCTCTTCGATGGAGCTGGAGCGGCTGACATACCTTAACCCCGAGTAACCTACCTTTATAAAAACTTGGATAAAGAAACCCCTAAACCCTAAACCCCATACCCTAAACCCTAAACCCTAAACCCTAAACCGTTAAAAACCCTAGAAAGGTAGGTTTCTTAGGGTCCAGGTACGCCTTGAAGTTGAGCCCGGGCCATCTGGGAAATCGCACCTGCATCTCCTCTCAGAGTGAAGGTCAGTATTATGTCATATCAAACTGTATTCTGTCATATTACGTATGCTATGTTCTATTACGTCACACCATGTTGTAGTATGTTATATTACGCTTTATTATGCTATACTATGTTATACTATGCGTTATCCTATGTTATATTATGCTATATTCTGTTATACGCGGCGCCTTGACCAGGCCAGGTGCTGTGCTATGGCAACCTGGCCTGCGATGCTTGGCGCCTGAAGCCGCCTTTCCCAAGCAGTTACTTTATAGACTTGTAAGTACGATAACCCCAATTTAGGATCCCTTCTTAGGGTACTTTTATATGTCTACTTAGATTACCTGTTTACTAAGCCCCCGCGACCCTCCAAGATCAGGTGCTGTATTTTTTCAGGGCGCCTTGGCTCCTCCTGGCGCAACACAGAAAATATTCTGCAGACTCCAAAACCCCTTAATTAAGGAATATGCCTTAAATCATAATAGGAACCCTAATATGATTTAAGGTATATGCCCTAATTAAGGGGCTTTCGGAGTCTCTAGGATCAAGGACGTCGCCCATGAACTCTTCTTTCCTCGAGTCAGGGGCACGAAACTCAATGTCTTCTCTGCTTATGATCTTCCTCATTCGCCCGGCGTAAACAGCCTTCCCGGCATCTTACCATGGCCTATGAAGCACAGACGGTTCAGCTCGTCATAGGCCCGGTCCCATGCAATCGATTTGGCTTTTCCCACTGCCGGTAGGCGGTAGGCAGGAATATGGGAGTTTCCGAAACCAGGGGACCCTAGTATCGTACCCTAAATAGTAGGATCCTTATTATAAGCACCCCCAAATATGGTACCCCTTGTTTTCGGAAACCCCCAGTTTAGGACCGTACCACTCGATCAGAAGGGGTAGGCATTGATACAACCCAAAGAAGGTGCTCCTACTGTTGATGGACAAAAGCCTGCATTAGCCATTAGCCATTATGAGGAATACACCATGGTTCCCGTAGTTTAGAGTCCTTAGGGTCATGCAGGACTTTGTCCATCAACAGTAGTACCTAGCCCTAGTTATCACTGGCCATGAACCTTACAAATAAACCCGGACTGCGCCAAAGCCCTGAACTATAAACCCTACGTCCTAAACCCCAAGGGTCCAAGTGCGCAATAGTCATACACTCTCCAAAATAGTAGCCTGCATAACTACTACCCTGACACCGAGTACCTACTTATTGGGTCCTTTGGACCCTTGACAACATTGCAAACCCCAAACTTCCTCCTACTGAAAGGATCGGTCGGCCAGTGCGTACGTTTTAGAGTAAGATACAAGCAGGATGACGCCAGTTGGGGCAAATCCTACACCCTGAACCCTAAATCCTATACGGTAGCCCTAACTGCCTAACAAAACCTTAAACCTCTAAATCCTCAACCCTAAACCCCAGAAGCCTAAACCCTAAACCCTAACCCTAGAACCCTCCCTGAGGCTTCAGAACAAGCCCTGAGTCATCCTGGGCCCGTGCAAAGCGTGTTCCACTTGCCACCGGCGTGCACACCTCACTTTGATCATGGTGGAGTTTCTGGCTTTTACCTTATTTTAAAGAGCTACAAGTACCATAACCCCAATTAGGGTCCCTTTTAGGGTACCTAACAGTAGCAAATGGGTCACCCTCCCTAGACCTAGTCCAACCCTAAACCCGAAACCCTAAACCGTAAACCCTCAACCCCTCAACCCTAAACCCCAAGACCGCGGGGATGTTCGAGTGTCCGGCTCAGCCATGGCTGGAAGACTTCCAAGGGAAAGCATCACGGGTGGAAAGATGCTGCATGCTTTGAAGCTCAGGATGCTCAATGCTATGACTCTAAACCCAGCTAACCCCCGAAAACAAGCCCCCAACCCTATACACCCTGAACCATGCTAGCCACACAAAACCCTATTAGAGGCAGTAAAAACCCAATGTAGCACTTCAGGTAATCGCTACATCTTATGCTGCTTTCTCGGCGGTGCCTGCCAAAACCTGAGTCCCAGCCACGTCTGCCCATGCTTGATGCCAGTCTCGGCGGAAGCACGGCACCCTGGGATCCCAACAGCAGCGACAGTCAGAGCAAATGCCTGTCGCCCGTTGACCATCCACAAGATCGCAACAAAGGGTTGCTTCGTCCGGCTGTGGAATTCGTTGAGGCTGATTCGCCGAGTTGAACCTCAAACTCTCTGGGTGCTCCTGTCAAATCCTCACGGCGCGTTTCGCAAGGAGTGGCTGGGAACAGCAGCTTCTTTCGACTTGCTGCCTGTTTGCCTTGGCCCAATGTGCCATCCTCCTTGCAGTGCTACCCCTTAAGGATTTACTTTAGGGTTTAGGGCTTCTACACGACTTTGCTTCCAGGCTTAGAAAACTGGCGCAAGACTTAGCTCATCTTAGGGTGGGTTTTGTTTAAGTGCACTGACTCTTTCTCCACTTCGCAGCAGGGTCTGTGCCTTTGGGGTTTTGGGGTTTAGGGCGTTTGCTTTAGGGTGGAAGGCACAGGTGCAGTTGATTTGGAGATCTTTGTGACAAGAGCAGAGCCGCAACCAGAAAACAAGTCGAAGAGGAGTCTAGACTCGGCAATGTAGGGGCCTTCATCCCAGAGACTCCAATATCCCTTAATTAAGGAATATACCTTAAATCATATTAGCGATCCTGCTATAATTTAAGGTATATTCCTTAATTAAGGGGCATTGGGCATTGGAGTCTTTGGGATAATTACTTGGAGGGTCGGGCGACTTAGTAACTAGGGGAATAAGTAGAGTAGCCTAAGAGGGATCTTAACTCGAGTTGTGGTGCTTATACTAAGCCCCCCGACCCTCCAGGTAGAATGAGGTTTTGGGCTCCTTTACACTTCATGTAAAATCAGGAGCCCACCAAAATACTTGGCAATTTTAGGCTTCTATATGGGTGGTTGTCAAAATTTTGGTCCCTTTTTGGGTCCCTATTCTAATACGGCACCTAATATTTAGGGTACCCAATTAGGGACCATAATTTTGACAACTACCCATATTACCCGACAAGATCCATGGGATGTGTCGGGTTTGTGGGCAGGCGATCTTAGGAGTTCGATCCTTCGGATGCTCCAACTGTGGAGGGCCGACCTCGCGAAGCCAGAATTGCTTGTGTTTTGCGGGCCTTAAAATGGGGTCGCCCGACAGCCCCATAACTGTGCAGCTTTGAGATCGTACAAAGACAGGGAATTTTTGCCAGAGGTGACTCTAGCATTTCTGAACAGAGCAGATCAAGCCATGCAGAGTTATGGTATCGAGAAGGTGGGCCGGAACAGATCATACAAGAGCGGCGGAATTTTCTGGAAGGTATCTCCACCAGATCTGAACAGGACTTCTTGAGCTGTGTAGAGTTATGGTATCGAGAGGTGTGGCTGACGGTTCGGAATTTGTGCACGGTGCTTAACTCCAAAACCCCTCATGCACGACATGGGCTCACCTGGCTCTCGCCAGATTTTTTTTGCTCTTTTAGCAGAGACCCATTTGCAACATTCTTTGCCTCTGCCTTGCTTCTGATTGCATTTGCTGTTGCTAGACCAGTGGTTGCGTTCCCTCAAAAAACCGAACTGCACTTTTCGCTGTTCTCGGAGATTGCACCTCTGCTTCAACCATCGTCAAATCGGGTCTTTTTTGCTTCATGGTTGCGTGTGTCTTTGCGCAGGATGGTTGCATCCGCTGTCACAAACCGACAAAAAAAAGATCGCTCGCAGCAGGCGCTCCAACCGACTTTGTTGCTCAGCAAATCCACATCTCTGCGCAACACAGACCCGTGCCGCTGCCGCTCCCGCAACACAGGTTTTTCGGTCTGCCTCAAATGGAAGAACTGCTTTTGAATCAGGTAGTGACCGCACTCGTTTTGTCTCGTTTCGTTTTGCTTCGAATGTTTTTGACTCAAGAAAAAGATCGAGTGCTGCGCACTCTGTTTTTCTTGTTAGTGACTTCTGAGAGCTGTGAAGCGCCACGGCCTCGCCTGTGCAAGGTTGGAGTTGAGAGTTCTCCCAGAAGGTACCTGTGCCTGAGAAAGCATCGACATTGACCTGTTTGGACCAGATCCTGTTTGTCCCATGCTCAAAGGTGGAAGTGTTCTGGCTGCTGTGTCTGGAACGTGTTCGGCCACCAGTGCCGCCAACGTCCACTTTCGGTGCGGACCAACTGCAGCACACGCGGCTCCAAATGTGGGGTCGAACAAGCTTAGCAATTTTGGCTTCGCTTGAGTGGCCCCCCTCTGTTCTCTCATGTCCATCACTTCCACAGGCAAGCTGTCTGGTTGGAAATTCTTGTTGGAGAACGATTTTTCCACACTGGATGCCTGCCTGTGGGCGAGTCGCCTTGATGTAGCAGTGTGGAACGCACGGGCTTGGGCTTGGGCCCCAAAATGAGGAATTCGCGACCCCAAAATAGGGGCCGCCAAGCGGCCCCGATTTTGGGGTCCTCTGGTTGCCAGTCAAAATATGTTGAAGGAGGTTGACTGGATTTCGCGGCTCCTTTTCTGGGGCCGCGAGACGGCCCCATTTTTGGGGTCGCAAGTTTGATTCCTGCACCCACAGCGGCTGAATCTCGTCAGCTGCGCATGTCATTGATTGTGTTGACTTTGGGGAGCGTCTGGTGGAGGACCGTTTGGAAGGTCGGAACTTGTCCAAAGCAGCTGTGTTGCTCGCCCTTAATAGTGCTGCAGCCAGCGGAATGCAACTGTGGAGGGCCGACCTCGCGAAGCCAGAATTGCTTGTGTTTTGCGGGCCTTAAAATGGGGTCGCCCGACAGCCCCATAACTGTGCAGCTTTGAGATCGTACAAAGACAGGGAATTTTTGCCAGAGGTGACTCTAGCATTTCTGAACAGAGCAGATCAAGCCATGCAGAGTTATGGTATCGAGAAGGTGGGCCGGAACAGATCATACAAGAGCGGCGGAATTTTCTGGAAGGTATCTCCACCAGATCTGAACAGGACTTCTTGAGCTGTGTAGAGTTATGGTATCGAGAGGTGTGGCTGACGGTTCGGAATTTGTGCACGGTGCTTAACTCCAAAACCCCTCATGCACGACATGGGCTCACCTGGCTCTCGCCAGATTTTTTTTGCTCTTTTAGCAGAGACACATTTGCAAACATTCTTTGCCTCTGCCTTGCTTCTGATTGCATTTGCTGTTGCAGACCAGTGGTTGCGTTCCCTCAAAAAACCGAACTGCACTTTTCGCTGTTCTCGGAGATTGCACCTCTGCTTCAACCATCGTCAAATCGGGTCTTTTTTGCTTCATGGTTGCGTGTGTCTTTGCGCAGGATGGTTGCATCCGCTGTCACAAACCGACCAAAAAAAGATCGCTCGCAGCAGGCGCTCCAACCGACTTTGTTGCTCAGCAAATCCACATCTCTGCGCAACACAGACCCGTGCCGCTGCCGCTCCCGCAACACAGGTTTTTCGGTCTGCCTCAAATGGAAGAACTGCTTTTGAATCAGGTTAGTGACCGCACTCGTTTTGTCTCGTTTCGTTTTGCTTCGAATGTTTTTAGCTCAAGAAAAAGATCGAGTGCTGCGCACTCTGTTTTTCTTGTTAGTGGACTTCTGAGAGCTGTGAAGCGCCACGGCCTCGCCTGTGCAAGGTTGGAGTTGAGAGTTCTCCCAGAAGGTACCTGTGCCTGAGAAAGCATCGACATTGACCTGTTTGGACCAGATCCTGTTTGTCCCATGCTCAAAGGTGGAAGTGTTCTGGCTGTGTCTGGAACGTGTTCGGCCACCAGTGCCGCCAACGTCCACTTTCGGTGCGGACCAACTGCAGCACACGCGGCTCCAAATGTGGGGTCGAACAAGCTTAGCAATTTTGGCTTCGCTTGAGTGGCCCCCCTCTGAAACACAAAACCCGAAGCCCTGCAGCCTATGGGGCCTAAGGAATATGAATACTGGTTCAGAATCATAACAAAAATTGAAAAATCAGAACAATAGTAGCAATAACACTGATAACAAAACTACTAAAAGACGTTTGGAGCTTGGAGCTGTTGTCAGGTCATTGGGACTGCCAGGGATGATCTCTACAGATCCGTAACCTCGAGCCGGAGACCCGAGGGTAAGGATTTGGGAGCTTCGGGCGTGAGTCAAAGAAAATAGGGGACCTAAACATGGATCCTTTTCGAGAAAACCCAGGTTGTCAATCCAAAGCCCGTAAGCCGTAGTCGTAAACCCCAGAACACCCGATAGCAAACCCGCTGTACATCCCTACATTGCCCTACAGACATTGAAGACTCCAAGACACCCTAAACCTAAACTTTAAAACTTAAGGCCATAAACCCCCTAAACCCCCTGGACACACTAAACCCCCATCTTACTAGCGGAGTCCAGCCAACCGAGGCTACCGCAAGGTTTGCTACACCACCGCCGCAGACTGCCAAGAAGTTCTGCACCTTGGGTGGCAGGGATGAAGGTCTGAGAACCCCTACCCAAAACCCTAAACCCTAAACCCAGTACCCTAAGCCGTGGTTTCATAGGGGCACTCATGGGTTCTTGGAGCTACTATCTGCTTCTTGTAAACGTACCATTGGGTTTAATGTAGGAGCCTGATTAAGAAATTAGGGTTCCTTCTATGAATCCTACTGTTTTGGGGCTTTAGGACCGAAATTTCTGAATCAGGTTCCTACATGGTAACAGAGTTTGCGTAAGGTCTTTCCAAAGGCTTTACGAGGGTCTTAAGTCTCCAAATTGTGCGATCCAGGTTCGAGAACTTTGTTGGCGTTGGGGCGCTAGGGTCTCAGGGTCTGGGATTTAGGGTTTTGGTGTTTTAGGGTTTAGGGTTTTGGGTTTAGGGTTTAGGGGTTTAGGGTTTAGGGTTTAGGGTTTAGGGTTTAGGGTTTAGGGTTTAGGGTTTAGGGTTTAGGGTTTCGGGTTTTGGTGACTTAGAGTTTTGGGGTTTGCGGTATCGTTTTCTAGGGTTTAGGGTTTAGCAGGGAGGCTGAGCAGCCAAAGCCTTCTGCGGCAACTGCACTTAAACGCGACACCCGAATCTAGGGGCTTAGCAAATGGAGTAGAGTTGGGAAGCCAAAGTGTACATTATACTAAGGAGCCCAACGGAATAGCATGAGCAACGCTTTCGCATATGTTAACTATTCAAGCCCCTGAGTCTCGCCTCAAAAGTAACTTACTTACCCTATAAGCCACAGAAATGAAAGGTGAAACTTTCCGATTCCTACTAAACTACAAGAACCCAAAAAGTTTAAAGGTTGGGCATTGGAGATGTGGGGTTATGGTTTGTATTATTAGTATCCCCCTAATAAAACCCAATATATACACTCACCTAATCCTAAAAGGAGCCCTAATTACACTCACCAAAACGGTAATCCGGTAATATAAACCCTACTTCATGTCAGGTAAGCTATGAAACCGTACTCCCCTGAAGATGTAGGGAACTCACAATATTGGACGTCCCTACACAGGAAACCATAACCCAAGAAACGAAAACACAAGTCACCTAAACCCTGAACCCTGAAAGCTGAACCCTACACCACAACCTGGGAAGCTCAACTGAAGATTGTCACGAAGAGTTGCGACCTTCTGCTAAGGCCTAGGATTTAAGAGTCGGGAAAAGGGGGTCTAGGCTAGCCCTAAATTCTAAACCCTAAATAGGAGTCGGGCGTCGGGTTTAGGCGATTGGGGTTTAGGGCTGTTTACTACTGGCGCTGCGGGAGGCTCCCTCTTTGAGGGTCTTTCTTGACGTAAGTCGAGGGGGCTAACTAAAAAGGGGTTTCCTTCTATCAGGTTGTAGGGTTTAGGCTTTGGCGTTAAGGGTTTAGGGTCCGGGGTTTGTGGTTAAGGGCTTCCTTACTTCCCAAATACCTATGGGGGAAAAAGCTCCAACTTTCCAATAAGACTACCGTACAAAAGCCCCAAAAGTTGAAAAGTTGGGTTTTGGGCCACTGAGCGTTTTAGGGCTCCGGGTTTAGGGTTTAAGGTCCGGGGTTTGGGGTTTCTTTTTCTTCTGGGTGGGTTCGGGTTTAGGGTTTAGGGCCATCTGAGGTCGGGCACCACTCTGTTTTTCATGAGGATCACCGCGACATCACCCGTGGTGGTCCCTGCAACGCACAGAGACTGGCATGGAAGCCTGAAGGGTCTGTTCTTTCGAGGTATGTAGGGGGCCTTACTAGTTAGAATTGGGTTCCTTTAGAGGCTCTATAAAGGATTTAGGGATGTAGGGGCCTTACCAATTAGAATGGGGTTTGGAGTACATTATACTATCATGATGATAAGGAACCCGTAAAACAAACATTCTAATTATTGGGGCACTTACATTAGGTTGATGAACGAACCCTGCTTCTTATTCTCCAGGCCTCTGCATTACTCTAAGCGGGACACTTCGTGATGATGGGCTTCTGACAGTATCATCGTCACTTTCAGGTGAAACCTAAGCCTGAGCACAAAGTAAAGCTAGGGCTGATTCAGGGCTTAGGCTCTTGGGCCTAATTGGTGATTGGAGTACTGCAGTGGCCTTAATGACTAGAACAGGGTGTTGGGGCCCGCTATAAAATAATTATATGAAGGAACCCCAACATAGTTTAGGCAATTATCAAGGCTCCTACAGTAAGGCTGAGGCCCAGGGTTTACCTTGCCCTTGCCCGCTCCCTTAGCAAGGCGTCTGAGATCTCCACCTGGGCCGGGACGGCAGTCGTCGCAAGTGTGGCCCCTAGCCCCATGGGTATCCAAGCAGTGCCACATGCGCTTGTTGCAGTCGTCGCATACGACGATACAGCGGAAAATAGCCCCTGGCCACGTCCCAGCGGCCCACACCTGGTGTGAGGACATTGAACCCAAAAGGTCATCAGCAACTCCCTGCTTAGTGGGGAATGGGGGCATGGATTATGGGGACTATTATCGGGGATTGTACAGGGACTACTACAGGGATCTATTCCCCCACTCCATACTAAAGCACCAGACAGGCAAGCAAGAGAACCCTTCCTAAACCCTAAAGCCTGGACCCAGAACCCTAAAACCCAAGCCCTAAAACTAAATCCTGAGCCCTAAGCCTGCCGCCCAATATTTGTATACTTGGAGGTCAAGGAGAACATCGAGGGAAGATCGAAACCAGCGGTACCATTGCAGGTCGGTACGCCAACCTCGCAGTATATAAGTCCCCCAATCATAATCCAAATCAGATGCAGGATCCTGTGTACAAAGCAGGAACCCTAAACCCTAAACCCGAAGTATATTCCTCACTTGAGAGGTTTCGGATTCTCTTAAGCCCAGGAATCTGGAGGGCGCTTTTGTCTAACATAGGGACTCTGATGATGTACAAAAACATACAAGGCTTCTATAGGGTCGGTAAAGGCTTTACAGAGTCACAGGAACGATGCCGGAAATCTCAAGCAACAAACCAACCCTAAAGTGCCCCAAAATCCAAAGCACGTTGAAACCCCCCAAAGAAAAATCCACGACCCTGAACCCTAAACCCTGAACCCACGACCCTAAACCTTGATCCCCCACACCCCCAAGGCGACCCTAAACCCTAACCCTAAATCCTAAACCCTAAACCCTGAACCCTAAACCCAAACCCAGATGGGCCTGCCAGGAGATACTCATAGTCCTGCGTGTAGGCTAGGCCTGGATGCCCCGAAGATGTGGCGGCTGTTGGGATTGGTGTAGGGTTTAGGGTTTAGGGGCTTAGGGTTTAGGGGCTTAGGGTATAGGGTTTGGGGTGTACTTGGAGGATCATGGGACTTAGTAAGTAGGGTTATAAGTACCCTAATTGGGGTTATAAGTAATTATAAGTGTAGTTACCTCATATAATTATAACCCTAGTTACTAAGTCCCATGACCCTTTAAGTAGGGCTGAGAGGTCGGAGCCACAAGTTTGGGGCTAAATCCTGAACCCCTAAAGCTGCGAAATACGAAGCTTAGAGACTTCAAACCTTTCGGGTTTGGGGTCTGTGATCTGAGGTTTTAGAGTTTTAGGGCTCTAGAAACATCAAGTTCCCAGATCACCGGAAGGATCCAGAAAGTAGAACCCTAATTTGGGACCCTTTTACCATTAAAGGGTACTTTGTAGGAAGATCCTTCAGGGATCTACTTTCCAGATTCTGCCAGGGTCTGGTTTCAGGGCAGTGTAGATTCCTTTGAGCCTGGGCCTCCGAAAAACACAAACAAAAAACGGACACGAAACACTTTAGGGTTTCAGGGTTTAGGGCTTAAGGGCTTTAGGGCTTTAGGGTTCAGGGTTTAGGGGGTTTAGGGTTTAGGGTTTAGGGTTTAGGGGGTTTAGGGTTTAGGGTTCCAGCCGGACTGAAACCGGCTCAAGTCGACCAAAGGCTTCGCTTGAGGGGCTCCCGGGGTGGGAGATTAGGGGGTTTAGGGTTTAAGTTTAAGGTTTCAGGATCAAAACTTTGGGGGTTTAAGGGCTTAGGGTTTAAGGGCTTAGGGTTTAGTGTTTAGGGTTTAAGGGGTTTAAGGTTTAAGGGTTCGGGCTTGAGGGTTTTGCTGCTTCTAAGGATTGAGGCTTGAGCTCGGAGCTTGTGTTGACCCACCCGACCACTGCTTTGAAGTGTACTTAAAGGGTCATGGGACTTAGTAACTACGGTCTTCGAGGGCTCCTTAAAAGGGATCTATAGGGTTCCTTAAAGGGATCTATAGGGTTCCTTATAATGGGATCTATAGGGATTTAGGGTCTACTTAAAGGGTCATGGGACTTAGTAACTAGGGTTATAATTAGGGTAACTACACTTATAATTACTTATAACCCCAATTAGGGTACTTATAACCCTACTTACTAAGTCCCATGATCCTCCAAGCAGGGCTTAGGGAACCCTTCCTGAGAGACTGGCAGACGTATTCGCGAACCTGCTTGAAGGCGTTCCCTACCTGCACGTTGCACCGTAGGGTTTTGGGACTTGGGGCTGGGGGCACCTGTGCTAAACCCCAGATCCTGGTCGCTATGATTGCATGAAACCCCCACACGCTCAAGCCCAAAGCCCCAAAATCCGAAAACGCGTTAAACAAATCCCGCCCACAGGCGCCTTGACCCTTTTATCAATCTGAATTTGTGAGTGCGAGACCATATCCCGTAGACCCTAAGCACATAGGCCCTAAACCCAAACCCTAAACCCTAAAGCCCTGAACCCTAAAGCCTAAAACTGATAAACCCTAAACGGCTCCCGAGCGGCTGGCCGCAACAGATCCTGCCTCTCTCTTACAGCTATGGAACCCATATAGAGCCCCTGCACTACCCCTTATATAACCCTATGGTAGCCCTTATGTATCCATATAGATCCTTTGAAGGAGCCCCTGTTCAAAACAAACTCAGAGACTGAAAACCTCGTGTACCTATAGATCCCTCAAAGGAACCCCTTAAAGGTAGCCTTATAGATCCCTTCTCTCTTCTTCAACAACCGTGTCCGAAAAAGTTCAAACTTTCTAAGATAAAGCGAAAAGAAAAGGCCAAAAAGTTGAAAGCTCCCCCCTTTCACGATCTAAGCCTTTAAAGGAACCCCAGGATTTATATCATCAACCGTATTTAAAGGGTCATGGGACTTAGTAACTAGGGTTATAATTAGGGTAACTACACTTATAACTACTTATAACCCCAATTAGGGTACTTATAACCCTACTTACTAAGTCCCATGATCCTCCAAGTAGGAACCCCAAACCCTAAACCCCCTAAACCCTAAACCCTAAAGACCCCTTATAGAGCCCCAGGATTTATACCATCAACCGTAGGAACCCCAAACCCTGGTCCAGCCTGATGCGCCGCGAGCTCGCCTCGCACGTGGTCCAGGTGCCACATGGAGATGTTCTTGCCTCCACAAGCGCGGCGAGGACTGGGGTTGAGGGGTTTAGGGTTTAGGGTTCAGGGGTTTAGGTTTTAGGGCTTAGGGGATAGGGTTTAGGGTTTGGGGTGTACTTGGAGGATCATGGGACTTAGTAAGTAGGGTTATAAGTACCTTAATTGGGGTTATAAGTAATTATAAGTGTAGTTACCCTAGTTATAACCCTAGTTACTAGGCTGAGGGAGCGAGGACCACGGTTGATGGTATAAATCCCTAAACGTATGGGAATTATGGTATATTCCCTATTCTGGGTAATGCAGGATTCATATCATCAACCGTAGGGTTTAGGGTTTAGGGACGCATTATTTTGGGGGCGTTTTAGGGCCAAGGGACTCACAGTTGCAAGTAGGCAATAAGTAGAGTTATAGGTACCCTAAAAGGGATCCTAATTGGGTTTATGGTACTTCTACGTCTTCACAATAACTAGTTACTAAGTCCCCCGACCCTCCAAGTGAGCGGTGTGGACTTTACACATTTTTTTGAATGCAACTCATAGGGCTTTGTAGGATCTCTTTAGAATGTGCTTCACAGTTTCCATAACTGTCAAAGGCTGTAGAAGGATTTCTTTGGTGGGCTCCAAAACGGCTTTAAAAGCTATTATGAAGTTGCATGGGTTCTTGCCTCTTCTGGCAGCTGCAAGTCTGTAAGAAGTGAGTCGAGTCGAACTTGAGTTCAGGGAGAGCAGTAGGGCTGTAGTGCTCTGCGGCTCAGGCTTTGGTTAAGGGATTTCCGCGAAGGTTCAGGGAGTTGCTGATTTCAGGGTCGTCTGCATCGCTGAACGGGTTTCTCTCATCGTTTACAAGGCTTATAGGTGTTTTGAACAATGTTGAGGGGCGAAACCTGCATTCTACCTATAGCCTCCATTGTAGCTCCTTTTTTGGTCAACCAATTTTATGGTTAGGGTCCTTTTATGGTTCGGGTCCTATAGAGTTTGGTTAGCCAAAAAAAGGAACTACAATGGAGACTATAGGTAGACTATGGGAGCTCTGCCATATTGCCTTGCTTGTGTGACCCTAAACCCTAAAGCCCTAAACCCTAAACCCCTAAACCCCTAAACCCTAAACCCCTAAACCCAAAACCCCTAAACCCTAAACCCCTAAACCCTAAACCCCTAAACCCTAAACCCTAAACCCCTAAACCCTAGACCCCTAAACCCTAAACCCCTAAACCCCCCCATCGATAGTAGGAGTCCATGTCAACCCTCAACTCGAAACCGCCCCAAACCTCTCAACTTGAACCAGAGATACACCGGTTGATGATATGGGAGTTTCCGAAATTAGGGGTACCTTATGTGGGGGTCCTTATAACTAGGATCTTACTATTTAGGGTACTATATAAGGGTCCCCTATTTTCGGAGAGTCCCATATAAATCCTGCATTACCCATAATAAGGAATATACCATAACTCCCAGAGTTAAGGGTCCTTAAGGTCATGCCGGATTTATGTCATCAACCGTCCCGAACCTTATGAAGCCTAAAACCTAGAAGTCCCACAGCTTTGAGTTTTTAAGCCCTCGCAACTGCATCCCTGAGTTACGAAACTGCCAAACTCTTGCCGACTGACTCCCAGCGGAACCTCCACAGGACGCGAACTGGTACTCCTGCGTATCCCGGCCTCGGTGTTTCGGGGCTTCGTAAGTTCTAGAAGATTTCGATGACGATTCAGAACAACTTCAAACACTGCTCTTGGAGGGTTGTATATATATATATATATGTATATATACCTAAACCTAAACCCTATACAGTGTAAGGAAAGACTTGCAGTAGGGACTGGGGGTTCAGGGCAGACCAGGAACTAAAAGGAGAACTCAGAAAAACGAGGAGGAGACGTCGTACGGTTGATGATATAAATCCTGCATGACCTTAAGGACTCTAAACTATGGGAATTATGGTGGGTAATGCAGGATTTATATCATCAACCGTAGAATATCTGAGTTCATAAGCCCACAAAAGTGTTTTCAGCTCGATCGATGAGGGAGAATCCTGCCACCAAAAGTATACAGTGTACTCACTCAGCTACTAAGATATTCAGATCTTGAAAGCTTGCATATAAACCTCTCGAGACTGTAAACTTAGCAGGGTATGAGTCGTCATGGAGTGATACTGCTGATGACAAACCCTGCCATGTCCATGATAGGGAGTATACCATAATCCATAGCAAAGGTTACTTAAGGTCTTGCAGGGTCTTAAGTCTTAACCATCAGCCGTACCAGTAGCGGCGCAAAGAGCTGCCGACACCGCTGTCACCTAGCAGGAGAAGCCATGCATCCTCACAGATCATCAAGATGGGTAGTTTCCCGAATAGCCGTCACTCACACTGCCCGGATCCATATTTCTGTCCATCGCATGGGCAACAACAATGCGAACTGTCGTCACGGAGAGCTTGATACCTGGGGGTTCCATAATACAAGTCAAGTTTACTGTACTTTCATTATACCCAGTAACCCTCTTTTTTGTAATTACCAGGCTACGCGCATGGACAACAAGACCACGACGCTGAGATTTGACTCGTCATTGGCCATGGTACCTACATGCTAACTAGGACCGGGAACGGAAATGCTAGCCCGTCCTGAGTTTAGTTTTTAACTACGGGTTACGGACGGTTTTAGGGTTCAGGGTACCCGGTTTACGACAGTGCAATTAAAACAAGTAGGACTCTTGGAGTCCAGGAAAAAAAGAAATCGCTAGTAGTAGTGCGATAACCCTGGGCCACAGGCGCTTGATGTCCCGCACCATGCCACCTGGCGGAGGCATGTCGCAGGATGGCTTCGAGCTTACTTGGAGGATCATGGGACTTAGCAAGTAGGGTTATACATACCCTAATTGGGGTTATAGGTAATTATAAGTATAGTTACCCTAATTATAACCCTAGTTACTAAGACCCATGACCCTTTAAGTAGACCCTCAACCCTAAACCCTAGAGATCCCTTGGAGGAGCCCTTTAGATCCCTTTAAGGTCCCCTTTAAGGAACCCTAGTTACTAAGTCCCATGACCCTTTAAGTAGCGGACTGTGGATCGGGGTTCCTTGGTTTACGGTTTACGCCGCTGCGGTACGCAGGAGTGAAACATCCCTTCGGTTTAGGGTTTAGGGTTTAGGGTAAGAAGCGTACGGCGTGCAGCAGTTATGAGGACCTTAAACCCTAAACCCTAAAGACTACACCCTAAACCATGGAGCACCCCTGAAGCTCCGGGGAGTCCCAGCTGATGACAAACTTGCCGGTTCATGAGTAGATGCAAGTGGGAGCTTCCGAATACTAGGGGTACCTTATTTTCGGGTCCTTCTTGTAAGGATCCTATTGTTGGGGGTGCCATATTAGGGTCCCCTATTTTCAGAAACTCCCAAGTAGGATAACTGCGGTTGTCTGTGCAATTGCCCCATTTCAGTCCATGAAAGTCCGAATACACCTGCTGCTGAGCAGAAACACTGCAAGGCCGGACACACTTCCGCCAACTCAAACCACAGCACCAGCACGGTTTCTTAGGATGTCCTTAAGGGGGGGTGGTCCAAGGGGGGTAGGTAACCTAGTAATCCCCATTATTCCCCAATACTCCCTAAGCTTCCCTAAGGTTCCCCAAAGCTCCCTAGTACCCTCCCCCCTTGAACCACCCCCCCTTAAGGATCCTATAAGTTTCAGAGCGCTGGATTTAGAGCTTTGGCCTGAAACTTGTCATTTGAGGTTTCAGGGTTTGGAGTAACCATGCTCGTTGCCTAAAACCTCTGCCAGGGCAAACCTAAAAGCACAAGGGCAACAAGCGGAGGGTCAAGCAGAAAAGTTCCAAACAACTCACATCGAAAGCTCAAAATGACATAAACTAAACCCTTCCCTCAGAACCTCCCGAAACGCTAAACCCTAAACCTATGAACCCTGAACAACCCTGAACTGCACACCCTAAGGCTTAAAACCGGACGTTTTCAGGGCTTCAACCACAAACTTAGCTGCCCTGATCATAAGACCCAGAAAATATGAACTTTCAGTGCTGTAGGGTATAATGTTCCCGAAAAGGGACATTGGACTCATCCAGCCACTAACCCGATCAACCCCACCTGCAATGACGCAGATCGAAGGCTTCGGAGACAGCTGGGCCCAGGCCATAATGAGACCTGAAAGCGGAGCCTTCGGCCTAAACCCTAAACCCTTTGGGTTTCGGCTTTCGAGCATATGACAGACCTTGACCCTGCAGAATCTGCTTTATTCAGCATTTGAATTGTCTGTTTTTTGTGGGCTTTCTGGTGTCCAGAGCCCAGGAAGATGCAGAAGCAACAAGAGCAATACTAGACAACGCTGCATGCACGGCATGCAAAAACACCTCGAACACAAGAAGTGTGCAGAAGTAGTGGGCGCACGGCCTCTGCTTTACACGCATTGCAAAGGTTGGCAGGTGAATGAGCACAACATGCAGTCAGAAATGAAAAGTCAACGTGTGGATGCAGCTACTTGTCAGTGCGGTTGTCGACTTACTGCCCTGTCTGGCATAAGGGCTAGATAGTACCCTAACCCGAGAGATGTGGTCCTAGAGATGCCATAGGAGGATATACTTGGAGGGTCGGGGGACTTAGTAACTGGTTATTTTAGGGACTTATAAGTGCCATAACCCCAATTAGGGTCCCTTTTAGGGGACTTATAACTCTACTTATTACCTACTTACTAAGTCCGCCGACCCTCCAAGTATATCATATAACCTACCGCGGTCCTTCAGGCTCAAAGTCACAACGAAAAGCCTCAAGCTCCCTACAGGCAACTCCTGGGCACAAGGAAGGTTTGCGTTGTAGGATTTCGAGATGTCGTCTTGTTGCGGGAGCCCCTAAAACCTACACCCTGAACCGTATAACGGGCTTTCAAGTAACCAGGGAGACAAAAGCGTACACTCTTATTCCAGAATGGTTCCTTTAAGAACCAGGTCCCAAAACAACAGAGTTAAAGTATGATACTCCAGAGCCCAGTATAGTAAACCCTTTTCGGGTACTTATACGTCTACTTATTATCTACTGGTCTGCACCCCCTGGGACCCCTCGCGGCTGCTGGTGTCATAGACGAAGACACGCTGGTCGACAATGTCTCCGCCTCGGAAATGTATGAGTTAAGGGCTTAGGGCTCAAGGGTTCATGGGTTTAGGTTAAGGTCCAAGAGTTTCAGCGTTTAGGGTTTAACGGTTCAGGGCTTTGGGTTAAGGGTTGAGCTCCGGCATGAAGGTTGTGTAGGTTTTGCTTCAGGAAGGAATATCGGCAATACACTTCCTTTTGTTGGGATCCTAACAGAAGGAATCCCTAAACCCTAAACCCTAAACCCTAAACCCTAAACCCTAAACCCTAAACCCTAAACCGGAACCTAGCTTACGGCTTTTTCGTGGGGGCACAGAACCCAGCTGCAAAGAACCAGGGTGCCCTGTCTGGGGATCGAGGGGCTTGGGGCGAGGGGTTTAGGGTTTCCTTTAAAGGGCTCCTTAAAGGGATCTATAGGGGTTCCTTAAAGGGATCTATGGGGTTTAGGGTTTAGGGTTTAGGGTCTGCGCCGTATTGCTTTTCACTTGAAGGTTTGGGTGTAGGGTTTTGGGCCGATGAAGCCAGGCAATTAGAAACAACTTATCTACCAGTACCCGTAGCTATCTCGAAAGGGATAGCCCTAAACCCTAAACCCTCAACCCTCAACCCTCAACCCTAAACCCCTTAAGGCTTCTTCCTTCTACTCCACCAGCCTGGTTCTATTCCTACCCAAAGAAGTCGATGAGCAAGAAGAGAAACATGTGGGGGATTAGGGTTTAGGGTTTAGGGTTGTCAAAACTATGGTCCCTTTTTGGGTACCCGAAATATTAAAAAGTGCCGTACCAATATGAGGACCCAAAAAGGGACCATAATTTTGACAACCACCCATATATACCCTAAACCCTAAACTCTGAACCCTACACCCTAAACCCTAAACCTTAAACCCTAAACCCTGAATGAAGTCAAGATACAGGAGATCAAAAACCGGTCGTCGTGCGAGAAGGCAAGCGCATCGATGCCGTGATCCTGCTCCTGTGGCAGCAGGGAGTTCTAGCATTCAGGTTCTTAGTTACTTAAAGGGTCATGCGACTTAGTAACTAGGGTTATAATTAGAGTAACTACACTTATAACTACTTATTAGGGCACTTATAACCCTACTTACTAAGTCCCATGATCCTCCAAGTACCCAACACGCCACAGGAAAAAAGCAACCATCATTGGAATCTTTGAATTCTTACGCCTCCAATAAGCCACAAATATAAAAAGGTTAAACTTTCCGATTCCTAGTAAACTATAAGAGCCCACACAGTTTAAAGGTTGGGTATTGGGGATCTTCGAGTTCAACGGATTTCGTGAATTTAGTGTGCAGGACTGATTCCAGCATTGAAAGCCTTAGGGCATGTTAGGGCTGGGTTCTTTAAAACCCTAAACCCTAAACCCTAAACCCGTATAGGTTGGGCCGACCGGCATTTTGTCTGGCTTCGCAAAGCTTGCGGCGGCTTCCAGGCTGCGTAGGGTTTACGACTGTTTCTGTGAGTTCCGACGACCCAGAGCTTCCAAAACCCCTTAATTAAGGAATATTCCTTAAATCATATTCGGGATCCTAAGTTTATTCCTTAATTAAGGAGTTTTGGAGTCTCTGGGGAGTGTTACCCAGCCAGGCAGGTTTGTCAGTACCGAATTCCAAACCATGCAGATTAAAAAGGAACCCTTGAAGGAAACCTGAATCCTAAAGACCTACGGCGGCATTTTCAAACCCTAAAACCCCAAGACCCTAAAACTGATAAATCTGAAGAGCTAGAAAGCATAGAGAAACTATGAAGACTTCCGAGACGTATGTCTTTGACGCTGCGGCGGAGCCTCGATGCGCGGGATCGGATTATCAACAAACCTCTAGCCGAAGCCCGTAACATAGAAGCCTGAAATAGTTGGTATCTGTAAGTATTCCCTCATAATTTTTATAATGGTCTATACTGGACCCCGAAACCGTGTTCTAATTATTAAGGCCTCCTCATTATCCGGCACGAGCGCCGGGACTCTAAAACGAAGCAACAATCATCAAAGGTTCTTCGGTACGAGTCACAGGAATATAGGGGCATTTCTAAAACGAACAGGGTTTGGCCCAAACCCTGTCATTGGGGTATATTGCAGTAACTAAACCTATATTAGGGAACACGAAAGAAAAACATTCCCAATTGCCCCAGCTCCTATAGCAAGGGCCAGAGAATCGTCATAGATACTCTAGACTGTAACAACCCAACCCGCATTGGAACAAACTTGCAAACACCCATGAACCGTAGGCCCTTAATTATCGAATACTGTATCATAAGAAGAAGCACACCATGCTGTAGGCTATGTTGCTAGAAAAAGGTGGACGGGGTTCCGGTCCCTCAGCACACGCGAACCCCACAAACACAAAACAAAAAAACTACAACACCGCTGCGAACCTCTAAGCCCTAAAGCCTAAACCCTAAACCGCAAAAACTTGCCCCGCAAGAGGGCCTGGAAGCAGGCGAGCTGCGACTTGGTTTCGAAGCCTCAGAAGCCATAAAGTCTTAAAATGCCTCATATGTTTGCATCATAACGGAACCCAGGGGGCAGTATCTTGAGTTTAGCGTTCAAATCTCATAGCCCCCAGGGTTCCCAGCCAGGTGCCGGGTTGAGGCGTTCGTCAAGTTTGGAGTGGACCGGTGTGCTTGTATGTGTGTGTGTGTCTCAGGCTTGAACCTAGATAAACCTTACTGCAGAAAGAACCCTAATTCGTGTCATGACGCTCATAAAGATACTTACTGACGAAGCCCCTGGGCCCCCCTAATCCCTGGACCCTAAACCCTAAATCTCTAAGCAGAGCCTTCAATCCTGAATCCGTATCTTGTCGAGTATGACGGTAGTTGGACCCACATCCTGAATCCTAAACCCTAAACCCCAAACCCCTAAACCCTAAACCCGTAAACCCTAAACCCTAAAGCCCAAACACTAAACCCTAAACCCTTTCCTAAGAAATCTTCCTGAGATCCCTTTTGTCTTAGCCGCGGGGCTCCAAAGGAGAACATCGGCATTTTGGCCCTGCTGTCCCGACGCCAGCATCTGGCCATTGTGTGAGACCTCGGCGGTTTAGGGTTTAGGGCCCTGTTGAGGGTTTGGGACAGTGCTTTTTCTAAGTTTTGGGTGTGAGGGAGCATCGAAAGTTCAGCTGAAACTCACTGATGCAGAGAAGCCCCAGCCCAAACATTCCCAGACCCCTCTCCGGGCATCGAACTGTGAGGCAGGTGATGAAGTCATCGTGGCCCTGGCAAAACACCTGCAAGGCAGGCTGGATGGTGCGGTTGGGAACTCTCAAAGGCTCTTAAGGTAAAAGCCAGAAAGTTGGAATATGATTATCCTAAAACTTCTATGGTAAATTATAGGGTATCCTACCATGAAACCATATTTCAACTTTCTGGAGTTCCCTTTATATCCCTGGCTTCACCAAGGGCTCAAAAACTTAAGGAACGTTCCTTCATTGAGCATGAATCCGAGTTCCGAGTGTCTCCGAGGGTGGCACAAAAGCCTCTGCACAGCATAGACTCCGAAAAAAATCGAAGTCTCCCATTGATATCGTATACTTGCTTGTGATATGCAGGATGCCTGCTATACCAGAAGCAACACGCCTCCCTAAACCGTGAACCATGAATCCAAACTCCTAAACCCTAAACCCTCAGCCATGAACCTAAAGTCCTAGGCCCTATAACCCCTGAACCACAAATCTAAACTCCCTAAACCCTAAACCTGAATCTAAACCAACTCCCCAAACCGTAAAACCTAAACCAAGACTTCAAGACGGCGGGAGCCTGCTCGTGGGGATCTTCCCTCGTGGTTTGGAAAGAGAAAGACAGCCGTTGCGTTCGAGATCAGGGGTCGTTTAGAAACTGCCCCCACCCTGTAATAGTGACTATAAGGATTATATTTATATTATATTAGGGCCCTATTATATTCCTATTATACCACTATTACAGGGTGGTGGCAGCTTCTAAGGGGTCGTAATTAGGGGCTCTCAACCCTGAACCCTAATACCCTCAACTCTAAACCCTAAGATTCTACACCCGAAAGCCCTAAGCCCCTATAAACCCCCAAAGCCCTGAGCCGCACACACAAAACTCTAAACCCGAAACCAAGGATGCTCCGCTCTTGACTGTAATGTAGGGGCCTTGATAGTAATATTAGAATTAGAATAGGGTTTTGGTGTTCCTTAACATAACTATAGTATCATATACGCCCAAACCCTATTCTACTTATGTAAGCCCCTACATCCCTAACCCTTATAGTATCCTTCAAAGGAACCCTTTAAAGGAACCCTTCTCTGATTACAAAGGCCCCTACATCAAGCTTGAGGGCTCTTGGCATCCTTTACCCTGCCATGGGAGAAGTCGCTTGAGGCTTTCAAAGGTTCCTAAAGCAGGGTTCCAGTTTGGGGTTTAGGGCTTTAAGGCTTTAGGGGTTTAGGGTTTAGGGTTTGGGGCTTTAGGGGTTTAGGGCTTAGTGTGTTTCAGTTTTGAGGTTTGGGGTTTGGGGTTTAAGGCGTTAGTCTGAACAGTCTTTGCGTGTTTCGAGGGCCTACTAAGGAGTTGCTTGGGGGGTGTTGTGAGCAACTCTTCCTGCGACGGTGCCGGCATTTTCGGGGACTACTCGCAGTTGGTAGTTATTCCAAGCACTCCGACTTCTCAGTACTCCGAACTCGAAACTCCCAACCTAGACCCTAAACCCTAAATCCGAAACTGGAAACCCCCAACCTAATCCCTAAACCCCAAACCCTAAACTCGAAACCCCCAGCTTCAAGCACTTAGCCCAAACCTCTGAGATGTACAGAATGAGTTAGAAGGGACCCCCACCCTGTAATAGTGGAAAAATAGAAATATAATAGGGCCCTAATATAACCCTTACAGTCACTATTGTCACTATTACAGGGTGGGGGCGTCTTCTACAGAATCAGGCTACAGGCTTTCGGAAAACAACGGAAGTCTCCCAAAACACGGGAAGCCTAAACACCAAACTCTAAGCCGTAATCCCTAAGCCGCATTCCTAAGCCCTCAACCTCAAAACCCTGGACCTACACCCTCTAAGCCCTAAACCCTATACACCCGAAAACCCTGAAACCCCAAAACCCTAGACCCTACACCCTCTAAACACTAAACCCTATAGACCCGAAAACCCTGAAACCCTAAAACCCTAGACCCTGCACATCTCTACACCCTATAGGCCCACCTAGGCCTACCGGCTAGATGGGAGTTTCCGATTATAGGGGACCCTAACATAGCACCTGAAATAGTAGGATCCCTATTATAAGGACCCCAAAATAAGGTACCCCTAACCCTTATAGAGCCCTTTACAGGAACCTTTAGAGTACCCTTATAGTAACCCTTTAACGGGACCCTAAGGTACCCCTAATTTTCGGAAACTCCCAAAAAACCGCTGAGGCCCACGCAGGTCTCCAATGATGATGACCTCATCGCCAGCACACTTTCACTTAGTTGCTGAGTTCTTACTTGGAGGGTCGGGGGACTTAGTAACTAGTTATTTTGGAGACTTATAAGTACCATAACCCCAATTAGGATCCCTTTTAGGAGACTTATAAGTCTACTTATTACCTACTTACTAAGTCCCATACCCTCCATTATAGAACCCTTATAAATCCCTTTAAGGATCTCTTTACCTTAAGGAACCCTTTAAGGAGACCTACTTACTAAGTCTCCCGACCCTCCAAGTAAGACCCAAAGCCTGAGCCCGAAAGCCGAAACCGCAACTGACGAGGGAGAAGAACTGGAGCGGAGGCTTCCTTGCTGAGTTCATGAGGGTTTAGGGTTTAGTTTTCTTTAAGTGCAGGGCTTAGGGTTTAGGGTTTGGGGTTTAGAGCTTAGGGTTCAGGGTTTAGGGTGTAGGGCTTACTTCTCAACTCAGCTGCTGAGTTCATAAGCCCCAACAAGTGTACACTTGCAGCTTTAGAGTGGGTAGTATTATCCCAAAAAAGTGTGAAGTGCATCCACTCAGCTACTAAGTTCAGATTCCGCAGGAGGGGCGTGTACTTGTGCGGGAGGGCATGGTTTAGGGCTTGCGGCGCACGGTTTAGGGTTGAGGGCTTAGGATTCAGGGCTCGTAGGGTTTAGGGGTTTAGGGTTTAGGAGGGCGTGTACTTCGGGGGAACAACTTGCAGGGTCGGGGCACATAGTAAGTAGGTAACCGTGGACTTACAAGTACCCCCAAGGAATCCTAATTGAGGTTATGATAGCTATGAGTCTATAAGATACCTACTTACTAAGTCTCCCGCCCCTCCAAGCAGGGGCCTGAATAATGGGTGTATAGCATTCTTCAGACACTGTTCCTGTCTCTTGAGCATCTTTGTTGGGATGCTCGATCGACACCCCCGAAAAACCCCTCTTGACCCTAGATCCGTAGCCCTTAAGCCCTAAACCCTAACGCCCTGAAGCCTGCGCCGAAACCCATGCATTTTCGGCTTCAGGGTAGTGGAAGGATTAATCAAGACCTTGAGGTTCGGCGGCGGCGAAGGACATGGCAGTTGACTGTAAGGCTAGGTTATGGCCAACTGTTCTAACCTGTTTTATCAAGATTTGGCAGGCTTTTGTCGCCTAACAGGAACCCATGCCGGGCCCCGGACGCCACCGACTGCCTTCACATAATCCTTCCCATTCGGATGGAGATGGCAAATCCGCTTGAATCTGGCAGCATATTAATCGGCTCAGGGATAAGGGGCTCAAAGCTTACAACCTGTTGTAGCTTTGGGTCATAGTAAGGCGACAGTGTCCCGAGGGTGCCCAGTGCTCTTATAGAATAGGTCTATGGGTGACTACAGGATTCCTACAAACTACCCAGAGGCCCCATAGTAGTTCCTTTTTGGGATTACCCTATAGGGTTCTATATATGAAACCCAAAAAGGAACTAGTTTGGGGCCTTTGTGTAAATCTTCGAAATCCCACGAAACCCACACACAACCCCCGGGAGTCCCAGATCCCCACACCCCAGCTTTGGAGGGGTTTAGGGGTTTTGGGGTTTAGGGTTTTGGGCTTTAGGGTTTAGGGGTTTAGGGTTTTGGGTTTAAGGCTTAGGGCTTAGGGGTTTAGGGGTTTGGGGTTTCGGCAGTTTAGGGTTTAGGGTTTTAGGGTTTAGGGCTAAAGTTTAGGGTTTAGTGAGAAGCACAGGCCGGAGAAGCTCGACGTTGCAGCCAATTGCATGCTCCAGCTCGATGGACATGACATGCAAGGTGCGCCAAGTGCTGGCCTAAGACTCCTAGTCCCGAAAACCCTAAACCCTAAACCCCTAAACCCTAAACCCTAACTATACCTGACGATTCGAGAAGTCTACGTTCCGACGTGCACCGGGAGCCACCGACTTGTGCGACTTCCAAACCAGGCTCAGCTAGTTTTTAGGTTTAAGGTTCGGGGAAGCTTTCAACATTGAAGCTCTGCTTCCATAGATCCTTGCGTGTTGGTATATAGTTGTGGGGTCTTACAGCTGTTGCTTGAAAGTGCATGGAGGGCCGTCTTCCAGAGGTACTTTCGATTTGCTTTTGCAAACATGACTTGTGCTACACAGACGCATGAGAAGCCCCAACGCTGGGCATGATGAGGGCGGCGATCCGAGCATGAGCTTTCAAGCAAGACTGGCAGTGCGGACCGAGGCCTCCTAACACTTACGGGCTATAACATTCAGTCTCAGAAAGGTTGTGGGGTTTAGAGCTTGAGGTGTTGCAACAAAGCTAGGACGGAGCTTGTCTGCATCTCTCTCACACCGTGGTCCTAATCCTGCAAGAAAGCATGAACATCGGCACACACATGTATATGAGACTTCTCCAATCTGTTAGGATGTGCAAGACTCCATACGTACACACCAGTGAGCAAGTACACCGCATGTCACATCTCTTTGTACGTCACATCAGCACAGACATCCCGCATAGACCCTTGAGGCCCTCGACCCCGAACCCCTACTTGGAAGGTCAGGGGACTTGGTATTTTGTAGACTTGTAAGTATCGTCCCCCAAAAAGGGTCCTACTTATAAGTCTACTTATTACCGACTAGCTAAGTCCCGCGGCCCTGCAAACACTGAAAGCACACCTGTAAACCCAAAACATCCCCACAACCTCGACCCTCAAGCCTAAACTCCAAAATGACCCCTTAGACCCTCAAACCCAGATCGAAGCCACTGGCAGGCGGAGGAACATACCTTGTCTCCCTTCTTCGAGGTGCCTTGTGGCAAGGTTTATGCTTTGGGTTTGGGCTACATAAACGGGGTTTGGAGGCGGCTACGGTTTATCGTGGTTTCGGGCTGTAGGGTAGTGCATTCGCACCAGGAGAAGACTTCTGTGAATTCTTTTTAAAGCTTCTTCAGGTTTGATTCCTGGCTTTACAAGGCTTCACAAGCGTTGATGGGTTTATGGACACGCTTGAATAAGGATCTGAACACCTTCATTGGATTACCTTGCTATGCCCGTTGGCGTGTTGCAGAGAGTAGTTTCAACAGCCGAAACACAAAACCCCTTACTGCTACACTCTAAACCATAAACACGGACCAAACCTCAAGCACCAAAGCTTACACCCCGTTCTGTTCAAGCTTCCCGGGCTGTTGACGACAAGATCGGGCTCCTGCGCGTCACCCTTTCGAAACGATTGTTCCGGCTACCTAAACCCAAACCCAGCGCCGCCGAAAAAGTAGACTCACTGGACCGTAGGATTCGGCGGGTGTTGCGGGCTTGGCACTCAAAGCCATGCCATACCTTGCGGACGGTGTGCTGCAACATCTTCATGTCAGATGCCCTTATGCCCCATGAAACCTTGGATCTAAGGGCCTGAGAACCACACAAGCATATCGGCCTCGCTATTTTAAAGGGTACAAGAACGCCCCGCCCCCCGACCCCCCCCAAGAGGGTATGTTTCATTGCGTTGTACTGATGCTGATGTGGTCTCTTGAGCCCCTATGTGCAAAGCCCGAAAGATTCGAGTGAAATTTAGAATGTCTCCCCTAAGAGGTCATCCATATTTATTCAAGGCATGCCCCAAAACCCTATTCTAATTAGTGCAGCCTTAGAGAAACTATAGCCAACCGTAAAAAGACCGTAGGGAACTGTCGTCAAAAAACACCAAATTTAAGCCTAAACCCTCAACCCGAAAGCTCAGAAACTCATAGCCCTACGGCCCAAATCGTATACAACGAACCTTTGCTAGAGACCCTACAGTCCCCCGCGACGTGCCCGGAGCCTTCTGCGGTGAAGCGACTCCCAGCCGAGCCTGGCGCTCGAATACATAGGGTTGATGATATAAATCCTGCATGACCCATAAGAAGGAATACACCATAATTCCCATAGTTTAGGATCCTTAAGGTAATGCAGGATGACATTAATCAACCGTAGGGAAGGTGTTGGGGGCGTTTGGTGGCCTCCGGACAAGAGTCTTTAGGCGGCATGTTTGGGTGAGGGTGGCGGTTTGGCGGGTTAGGTTTCGACTGGAATTTGGCTTTAGAGGTTAGGGTTCAGGATTTACCCCAAATCTACAAGCCGGAGTCTTAGTATTTCAAGAGAGCGACAGAAAGCCAGGAAGTGGCAAACGGGTAGTTGACGGAGGAGGCTGAAGAAGGTGTACCAGTGTCTAACAGCAGTTCGATTGGAGTTTGAGAACAGGTTTAGGATTTTTCAAAGACTTGCACGACTCAGACGACACTTTGACAAAGCTATGGGCACTTTGACAAACTAAAACATTTATCCCTTACCTAGAGCATCTTTGGTGTAGTTTGCCAGTTTCGGATTCGGGGTGAAGAGGCGTAGTTTTGCAGCTCAAAGTAAGTTGGAGCTCCTCGGGATACATGTTTTGGGGTTCAGCACTTCAGCAGCAAAGCCTCAGCAGTTTTGGAGACTGGGGCAGTTGATGCACAAAAAGAAGAGCTCCCTTGCTGCAAGGCCGATGAGTACCTGCGAAAGGCATAGGGGCATAGGCGTACGGGAAATGGGAACTTCCAAGGTTCAACCATCAGGAGCCAAATCTACATAAGAGCCCGGAAGATGGAAAGTAGACTCGCATACGGGCGCTAAGGGTACTTGTATGTAAACACTATAGAAGCATTCGTCATACTGATTCTGGAATCGCTGCTCTCAAGCAAACACCAGTATGGGGTGAGATGCCGATCAGGCTCTCGACTCAGGAAAGTCTACGTCTTGATCCAACAGGTCACAAATAGTTTGTTACGCGCAGTCTTCGAGCTCCTTGCCTTCTCGCAGTCAAACACCTGAGGCTGGATGTGTTCACAGACGCTCATCCAAAAAGCGTTTCCAAGCTGGACATCCACCAAAGCCTGGCAAATCGTCAGCCCAAATCTAAAACTACAGGCTCTCTCTTGGGCGGTTCAACAGACGGCTCACAGTCCGAATCCACCTCGTCCCACAGCGGCAGGTAACGATCCCCTCTGCCCGAGAATCGAGGACTGTGTCGCCGAAGATGATCCAACACTTTGTCGCGGTCATCCTCGCGGTAACGATGCCCTCTGTGCGAGAATCGAGGACTATGTTGCCGAAGATAATCCAACACTGGCAAGGTCAAAGTCACCCTCGCTCTCAAGCTCCAACTCTTCGTGCTGAGGAGCTGCCGAAGAGGCGAAGCCGCAGATAATAGCAAAGATCACGACTGCAAGCACAACAAAAGCTTCTTGGACGGGCCAGCCATTCAACCACTGCAGAAGACCCACGATGCTCAGTGCAAAGAGGACGAGGGAGGCGTTCAGCAAAGTGAGACGCTGATTCCTGTACACCTTGTTTGCCAGCATCGACTCGTGCACCAGGCAAATGTCCCACCAAAGGCTGAAGACCGGAAGGCTTGATTGGATGGGCTGGCCAAACAGAATGGCTGGACAAATAGCAAACGTGCCGAGAATGCCAGCAACGAATCCCTGCTCGATAAATGTAGCCACCTGGTGAAAACAAGCCGACGTGCAAGCTAAATTGCAATCGCGCTGATGGCATGAAACTCCACGGTATCTTGATGTGCAGTACATCTCCGCAGATATCCAGGGCACGGCAGCTACGGCAGCCGCCCAAGGGGACCAGCGATGCAGCGTGTAGTACAGACCGAGGAAGACGAGTTCCAGTAGAAGCAGCAAAGGACCCGCCGCCACGGATCCAACAGTCGGCGGTAGCTCTTCCACGGGCACCCGAAATTCGTCGCAGAGGAGTTGGACCAGGAATAGCTGACAATTGTGAAACAGCAAATCGTAAAAAGAGCCATGAAGTGGAACATTTCTGGCTCTGATGCATAGCTCGAACGGCGAGACTTTCTGAATGCATAGGAAGCCACCGAGGTTCATGATGTAATGGTTGTTTCCACTGTCCAAGATAAACTTGATGATGCATTTGTTGACTTCTTAGCAGTCTACTTTATCTGCAAGATCGATGCTTCCCACAAGATTTTCCAGTCTTCTCGGATCAAACTGCAACTGTGGGGACGGCTGCTGGAAGTCCCCACTCTGATGGTCGGGAGAAGAGAGAACACCCCTGAGCTCTGCCTGCAAGTTGGAATGATTTTCTTGGGACTGCTTCAGCAACTGGATCGCCCGTCTGGTTCTTTCCCGTTCTTGTTCGTGTTCTTCTTCGCGTATTTGCTGCGTCAGCTCTTCCCGCCCGGCAAACGCCCGCCGCCTGGGAACCGCCCGCCGCCCGGCCAACCCCCGCCGTCCTGAAAAACCCTGCCGCAGATAGCGCATCTTGCAGCGACTTTGGATCCAACGGGATCCGGTGTGCCTGTCAATGGCAGTCAGCTCTACCGCGAAGACATCGGCACTATCAAATATCCAAACAGATGCCCAGTGTGAAGCTATGCCCTTACCGACCAGGATGACATAAGCATTTTGCTCTTCCATACTTAGGTGCTGCTCCTCACCCGGATCTGCCAGGTTCTCATCTTCTGCACTGTTTGCCCGGCTCGAAAGCCCCACCGGGGCTGTGAAGGTCATCCCTGCAAGGGCCATGGCTGTCAAATGAGAGCTTGCACGGCCCGGCTTGGGGTATGCGGTATGTTGTAGTATACATGATGATAGCAAAGGCACCCTAAAGAATATTACCGAATTTTCAAGCGCCTACATGACTCCTTTACCAGTTTACTTCTCATTGGATGAGATATACTGGCCCCCTGAAATCAGATCGAAGGGCTGGTGGGCTCAAGGCACGGGTTCAAACAAGCTCAGGTGTTTCGCCTCGAGGGTTTAGCTGGCAGGAGGAGGTTTAATTAGGCTGGACCCTAACCTCTAAACCCCAAACCGGGCAGAGGTCTTGGAATCTGGGTTCCTTGAAAATCTGCTGCAAGGAAGGCCTCGGAGAGGCCAAACTGTCCGTTTGTGCCGACACCCTGTGCGCTGGCGCCCAAAAGCCCGTAAGCAACCAAGACTCGTGGATATCTACAACCTGAACTCACAAAATCGTCATCTGAGAACCCTTCCGGCAAGACTCTAGCACGGATTGAACATCCAAGCCCATGAAAGCAACAGCAGCCAAAAGCATTGCCCTGATGAGCAGGAAAAGAACGATTGCTATGACACAAAGCGATGTCAATTATGGAGGTGCCTTCGAAATGAGAAATAGGGTATACTGGTTATACGTTACAAGGAAATATGGCTGCGCTTTTGCCTGAGTCGCTGTAGCTGCGGATGCGGCGTGACCTGAGCCAGTGACTTCGTTTGGGCGTATGGGGCAGGGTCGGCAGGGTCCAGGGCTTACGGCCAAACCCTACATACCTCATGCTCTCAAGCTACAAGCAGGGGGCCTTCCCCAAAGAAAACGAAACCGAGATCTAAACGATCTTGCTGCACCACGAGCCCAGGGTCCTGAACCTCAAGCCCGCAAACCTAAAACGCCTGCCTCACACCTCAAGCAATCCACTTTCCAATCCACAACCACCCATACCCCTTCTCAGGCACTGGCAACTGCAAATCCCGCTGCATCACAGTAACCCGACCTCAGGGATTGGGGCTACGGCGACGGTGTCGAGATCAAGCGGTGCAAGCTTTGAGGCTGAAGGCTTAGAGTTGGGGATGTAGAGAGTAGGGTTTAGGGTGTAAGGTCTAGGGTTTAGGGCTCAGAGTTGAGGATGTAGGGGTTGATGGGCATTCCTATGACCCGTCATGTCGGCGCCTGCACTACTCCTATTCCGCTTGCTGAAGCCCTCTTGTGGTCCAACGTAGGGTTTCTCTAGTGGGAATTACAATATGATTTGGGAAAGCATCCCCCACGCTAAACCCGAACGAAACCCTCAATCCTAGGACCCTTCGGGTTGCTACTACGAGCTTGGGGGCAAACCCCTAAACCCTAAAGCCTGAGCCAAGGCCCCCTGCGCCCATGGAGACAGAAGAGGCTCGCATCCTCCATGAGGCCCGTGAGGAACGTCTGTGCAAGGCATTTTAAGGGCCCCCTCTTAGAGTTCCTGGTTCCCGTAAGCATTTCTTTAAGGGGTTGAACTTGTGAAGTTTAGGGTAGATTAAGGATCTATTCTTAACAGTTCAAGGCACGCAGCAAGCAGGTTGGACTTGAGTGGGCAGGCTAATTTCAATCCCAACTATCCCTTAAGGCAATATACCTCACTTCCCACGACGATACGATGACACACGGTAGAAGAGTTTAGGTAAGGAGTCAGGAGCTCTCTGGGCGTCTGAGTAAGCTTCGAGTGCGGGGCGTTTCTATCTTGAATTCTCGACTGTCCGGTTCTCGGATGTGTTTTTAGGGTTTACGGTTTAGGGCACTCTGTTGGATTTCGGCTTGGGTTCTCAAGGCGTTCAGGTTTTGCGCTTTCGGGCTTCAGGGTTTTAGGGCTTAGGGTATTAAGGCTCTTGTTTGGGGATTTCAGATTTTGGGGGTTTCGGGTTCTGGGGTTCATCTTTCAGAATCCGGGCAGGGTTGGACCGCTCAATACTCAGCACACAAACCCATAACACCCGACGCCAACGACCCTCGCGCCCTGCCCCCGAACCCTGATCCGCAAGCCCTAAAACCCCAAAAATCTCATCGTATCCGGAAACTCTGTAATCTGAAAAGTTAGAGACAGGGTTGATTGGCAAGGTGCTGACGCTGATGGACACAACCGTGTTTCCTTGAATACCCGAAGCTGTGCCAATTACAGCAAACCCCAGAAACTTGGGACATGGATTAAGGATGATTCATGCTTGAATTCCCTCTACTTTACCTTTGGGACCTGAGGACAATGTTCCAACTGTCCGGCTTCTATTGTATGGCGCATACATTACTATGGATAACGCAGGATCTGGTCCATCAGCAGTGGGGGTTGATGGTTTAGGCGCTTACACATTCCCAGAGAGCCCAATACCCCTTAATTAAGCAATATAGCTTAAATCACAATATGAAGCACTATATATTTTAAGCCATATTCCTTAATTAAGGGGTACTGGGCTCTCTGGGTTTGCAGTTTACCTTAAACTGTCAGAACCTACTTTTCGTAGGTTTCTAAATTCTATGTTGGGATTTTAGTAAGAACCTACGCAAGACTAGGTTATGATAGTTTAATGTAGGCCCGTAGCGTTAGGATTGCGGGGGGCGGGGGTGGGTTCGGGTTCGGGCTTGAGAGCTTCTGTGCCCAGGGTTTTAGGAAACCAAGTTTTCGCAGAGAAAGGAGTTCGGGTTTGGGGGTTTAGGGTTTAGGTTTTAGGGTTTTGGGGTTTAGGGTTTGAGGGTTCCTGCGAGCACGGGTTTCAGTTGCTGCACACCAAACAAGTACGGATACCAAGTAAGAAACACACCTCACATCAAACACAAACGCCAGGACGGAGAACAAATCATGCACCCCTAAACCCTGAGCCCTAAAGCCTAAACCGAGAACTAAACCCTAAACTCCCTGAACCCTAAACCCCAAACCCAAAAAGTATCCCTAAACCCCAAACTCTAAGCCCCAAGCACCCTATAATCCTAAAACCACAGGTAGAAGGTATCCCGGGCCGAACCTCCGCGGCCTCCTGCAGCGCCAAAAGCGCCTCACAGGTTGGAGGCCCCTATCCAAAAAAGGGGGGTTAGGGGTTTAGACCTACTTAAAGGGTCATGGGACTTAGTAACTAGGGTTGTGGGGTTTTGGCTTTTTTCGATAGGGTTTAGGGATTAGGAATTAGGGTCTAGGGATTAGGGTTTAGGGAGTAGGGATTGGGGTTTACGGACCAGGGGTTAGGGCCTCTGTTAGGGTTTAGGGATTAGGGTTCCGGGTTGAGGGTGTAGTGGACAAGAGCTTGTACTGCCGGGTTTCAGGCTTAGTTACGGGACTTAATAAGTAGCCATGTTCGAGAGTTACAAGGGTGCTTGGAAGTATACTTACTACCTTGTTTCGAAGTCCCCTCCAAGTGGGGACTGGGGTGTAGGGTTCAGGGCTGCGGGTGAAGGGTTAGAAAGTTTAGGGACCCGGCACTGATGAGGGCATTGCGAACGACAGCCTCGTCTACCAGATTGAAGCCATGCACTGGAAGGCCAGTCCAGTCGTGATCGCTCTTGGCATGTTCGGAACCAACGGGCTAGGTTGACTTGCTCAGGGAAGCCGTGAATTGTATCGTCTCCATCAAACAATCCCCGAAGCAATTCGATGGCTTGCTCCACGGGCAGATTGTGCGAGACCGTCGGCGAGCGCCACATGCACGGCACTGACATTCAGGGCGTAGACAGTGCCAGAGCCTGTCATACCTCCTCGAATTTTAATGTGGGTTGTTCCATTGTGATCGTTCTTGATAAGACCTTGCCGCATCCTTTCCAGCTCCTCGACACATCGTTCTTCGTACAATTGCCAATGTGGGTTTAGGGTTTAGGATTTACGGAGTATGCTGTAGTGTTGAGGACTTAGGGTTAGGTTTAGACTCTTTTCTGAATTGGGGCTCGGGTGGGTTCAGGGTTTGGGGTGCAAGCCTTCGGGGCTTGCGGCAGGTCTTTGCTTTCCAAAGGGTTTAAGCGCTGAATGGATTTACGAGGTTGAGATCTGCTTCAAGCCAACTAATTATATAACCGTTGCGCAGATTGCCTATAACGTCATTTCAATTGTTGAGAACAGTAGAGCAGCAAAGCTTACTTGAAAGTTCGTGGGTAGTAAATGGACTCGTAGTGAACTTCTTGACTCTTCTTGTTGACCCCGGTCCTGAGTCGTACCTCGCAATACAAACCCACCCCAGCACAGACCGGTCGGCGCGGCTGGGGCTGGGGGGAGGGTGGAGGGTTGGGGTTGGGGGGGGGGGGGGGGGGTGGAGGTGGGATCTAGGCCCGAAGAACCAATCCCAAAACGCGCCTGCACTTCGAACCGATACGGACCTCGAGCACACAGGCTCTTGGGGTCATCGCCACAACGACGGTTCCAATGTGGGTTGGTTTAGGGCTTGCAGTCGGGTTTGTGGGTTTTCTAAAACTATCGGGTGCAGATTTCGGTCGGCAGAGTTTTGTCGGGCTTCCGGGCCTTGGCTCCAGTCGGAGCGTTGCTGTTGCTGCTGATACGAGATAGCGCGATACCTTTTGCCCATTCTCGTCATCATGACCATCAGGTAATCCACGAGATCCGAAAAGCGAGCTTCGCGAAGAATCGCAAGGCAACAGCAAGCATCCTCCCAGGCCGACTCAAGAGCGTCTTTGGCCTTTCTCCAGATCTTCGAAGGCTCTCTCGGAGGCCGAGTGCCCTTTCAGCTGAACCAGGATCTTGGCGTGCTGTGCAGCCTGACAGCAGCAACGCAACACCTATCAAACACATGACCAACCAATCTCATCTGCGCTGCACCGCCTTCCCCAAGACTGCCTGCTCGAGCAACTTCTTTGTCTCTCCCAGGTCAGCCACCGGGAATTGGGTGCTGTCGAGGGTCGTCAGATTGGCTTTCTTGACGTCAAAGCAAGCAACTGGATTTACACTGTTTTTCGCTTTGGCTTTGCCCTTCGGCTGTCGGAGCAGCAGGCATGATGATCGTGAGGGCCAGGGATGGAATTGGTGATCTTAACATTTAAGATTGAGCCCCAGATTCATCGATCGTGCTCTCGGAATAACCAATAATGAAGGGCAGAACTCTATTACCTCAAAACACGCTGCTCTGTGGGGATTGCGGTATATTCCTGGATCAGACAGGCTTCTGCCCGCCAGCAACATTGACATGCTCACCATACACGCTGTGACTATGGCTAGAATTCTGACAACGGCTACGGTGACGCTGACTGCCTCGAAAATTGCCAGTAGCATCATTGTCGCTCTTGTGCCTAAACTACCCTAACCCTAAAGCATAAAACTAGATGTCACTCTATCTATAGCGCTTGCAGTTTCGGCCGCTAGCGGCTTTAGGCCTAGCTCGTGCTTGAAGGTACTGGAATTGTGATAATTCTTGAGTTTAGGGTTTAGGGTTGGGGCTTCTTCATGGCGTGGGACGGCAGGTTCTTTGGGATTTCACGTGGGGAGGAGGATTTGGGGTTAAGGATTGCCGGAAACAATTTCTAACGGCTGACAATGTGATATGTGGTCTAGTCGGCATAGGGCACTCTCGGCTTTGCAATAGCAAAGCGACCTTGTGGCCAATCAAACCTGCAAAACCGTGCCAAGCATCGTGCAAGAACCATCGAAAACAATCATACACCCTGAACCGCAGACGCTTGATGCCGTCGGCCTTAAACCATCACAACCCTGAACCCCAAGCCCTCCATGAAGACCTTTCACCTCATCGAAGGTTTCAGAAGCTCCTACAAATCCCCTACCAGAAACCCTAAGCAGCAAACGAAAATCCCGCAAAAGCCCAAAAACTTCCCTCGAAACGGTATACAGCGCTTCTAGAGCCGTATAACCTAAGCACTGAACTGAACTCCCTTCCCCTCATGCAGAAGAGCGTCCCAGCTTGCCACAGATCTCTCGGACAAGTCGCTGAAAGTTCGTCTGCGGGCTCCGGGCTCAAGGTGTAGGATAAAGGGTTCTAGGTGGCCAGGGCTCCATCATACAGCATGCTTGGGGCAGGGTTTAGGTGGTAAGGGTTCTGTAAGGGCTCTACAAGTGGTCCTTTTACCGGAAACGACTGTTGTGAACTTGTATTCGCCCCATATAAGGGGCTTGAGGCTCAGGCATTTCGGCGGCTCTTTGGCTTTGCAGGCGTCGAGAAGGTTTAGAGTTTAAGGCTTGGGGAAACATCTCTCACGGTCAGGTTTTAGGGTTTAAGGCTTCAAGGTGTGTTTCTGGTTTTCGGAAAGGCCGCTGTTTCTACGTAGGTATCCGCAACTAGGGTACTTAGTACTTGTAATCGTTGGTTGGAGATGGATGTTTCAGACAACCACGCATCCTCCAAGCCGCAGCCTGCAAGACCCATGCTTTGGGTTTGAGCATTTATGACTAAGGTTTTCCACCCAACATGCCTGACAGCTACATAACAATGCAATGGTGAAGTATGAGAAAAGGCGAAATCCACAAGTTTCAAGTTAACCATAACAGGTACAGCGATGTCTACAAACTTATCACAACGCCAGCTGGTGTGGATCGATATCATCATAGCATTCGTGTACTGTTTGTAATTCAGTGGCAATTAAAAAGAAGAGTAGAGTAGTGCCAAACAGGAATATCAATAATAATGCACAGCACAAAAGCACATATTATGGGCAATGGTACGTCATACTAAGCAACACCAACCAACCACTGACAATAACAAGTGCTGGGAAGTACTACTAACTAATGACATGCTTTAGTAATCAGGATAACGAATAGTAGGTAATAAGCGGAGTTAACAACCAATAACACGTAATGGTACGTAATATTGAGCAACAACAAGCAATAACAACTACCAGCAAGTACCCTAAACCCTAAACCCTAAACCCTAAACCCTAAAATGAGGAGAGGATACGTCAGAAGCAGTGGCCTTCGGTACCAGCAACTCAGTGCTGGCCTGGTAGAAGCGAACCTGCCCCGGGGGGGATGTTGAGAACCCTACTGTTTAGGGTTTAGGGGTTTAGGGTTTAGGGATTTAGGGTTTAGGGTCAGGGTTTAGGGGTTTGGGGGTCTAGGTTTTTGTTGGTTTAGCGTTTTAGGGTTTAGGGTTTCGGGGTTTAGGGTTTGAGGATTTAGGGTTTAGGGTCAGGGTTTAGGGGTTTGGGGGTTTAGATTTTTGTTGGTTTAGCGTTTTAGGGTTTAGGGTTTAGGGCAAAGAGCATCTTACCAACAAAAACCTTCCCAACCCTACTCCTCTAGACCCTGCTCCTGAATCCCTAAACCCCTAGACCCCAAAACCCTTAACCAAGAGCATCCTGCCAACAAAAAACCTTCTCAAACCCTACGAAGACCTATGAAGTTCGGGCAAACCTATAGAGAACCACAAAGCCTACAAAATCCACATACAACGCTTCAACTAGGTTCCTGAGTGGCCCCTTAATAATGCGGGTGCCCTTCTTCCTAACATTCAGTTTGAATAAGGAGACCCCAAATTAAAAAGAGCAAAAGGGTACAACTCAGAAGAACCCTGACAGAAACCCTAACCCCTCAGCGCAACCCTTTTGGTGAAGGAACGCCTGCTGGAATTCATACTGAGGCCCGTAAACGAACCCTTCAGAGAGATCATGGAAGAAATGACAAAGCGATCATCATCGGAATCTTGAAAAATTTACTCCTCCAAAAAGCCACAAATATACAAGGTTGAACTTTCCGATTCCTACTAAACTCTAAGTCTAAGAACCCAAAAAGTTTAAAGGTTGGGCAGTGGGGTGAGATTCTTACAGGAAGCCTTGAGAGAACCCTTTCCGGCAAGGCGGCTCGGGCCTCCTGCTTGGCCCTGCTCCCCGGGGTTGTCCTCTTCGCTCCTGCGAGGAGCTCTACAAACCCGCCAAAAAAGCTGAAGAACCCTTATGGAGCCCTTGCAAGCCTGCCTACAAAACCTTACAGTCTCCCTTATGAACTTCTGCTAGGATGCCCATGCCCAGTAACCTAGGAATAAAAAGGGCTCCCTTTTTGGTATTGGGTAACTTTACAAGGAACCTAGGACCACAAAAAGGGAGTAAGGGCACTAAAGGGCATCTTGGTATGAAATTCGTATACAATCCTGACAAAGAGCCTAAAGAACCCTCAGATCAATGAACCTGTTACAAGCCCTTGCAAAGCCCCTGTGGGCCCCTTAGTCAAACCTGTTGTCGCGGGCATCCACCGGTGCGATGCTAGTACCTAAACCCTGGACCGCTGAACCCTAAACCCTGAGCCCCAAACCCTAAACCCCAGACCCTTAACCCTACCCTAAGCTCTGTAAACTAGGTTCCTGAGTGACCGCATAATTAATGAGGGTACCCTTGTTCCTAATATTCAGGTTTTAATAAGGCGACCCCAAATTAAATAGGGCCAAAGGGTACTACTCAGGAACCTGGCTGTAAGACCCTAAACCTATTATATCCTATTATGGTAGGGTTAAATCCCTTAACGCGAACGCAGAATAGCCTCAAGTTCCTAAATTCTATGGAGCCTATTCTACTTGATAAGGCCTATATGAAGCTCTATACAAGCTGTCTGGCTCCGAGATCCTTCGGCGCCGTCGGAGACGAGCTGGTCGCTACTCGAGGCCGCAGCCTGGGAAGAAGACGAGCTTTGAATGGGGTTTTGGGGTTTAGGGGTTTAGGGATTGTGGCTTAGGGATTGGGGTTTAGGGATTAGGGTTTAGGGGTTTAAGGGTTGTGGGGTTTTGGCTTTTTTCGATAGGGTTTAGGGATTAGGGTTTAGAGGCTTAGGGTTTAGAGGTTTAGGGTTTCGGGGTTTAGGGGTTTGGGGTTTAGGGGTTTAGGGGTTGAGGGTTTAGGGTATAGGTCCAAGGCCAATGCATTAGGTACTGCCCCCATACAATATGAGTTTATAGTACGGTTGATGATATAGATCCTGCATTACCTTAAGGACCCTAAACTATGGGAATTATGGTATATTCCTTATGATGGTTCATGCAGGATTTATATCATCAACCGTAGGGGTACTATTAAGGTCCTGAAATATCTATACTATGAATAGTATTCAACTATTACTGAGTGGGGGACGTGCCCAACCAATGCAACTCGGCACCTCCCAAGAATCCGACACGCTTCCACGAGACCCCAATTTAATTCGACCTTGCGCCAAGCAACCACCGAAACCTAACCCTGAGGAGCCCCCAAGACCACCAACAAGCACAACAAAGAAGAAACAATCGGTTTTGGAGTAACTAGCTATTTGAGAGACTCATAAATACCGTAACCCCAATTAGGATCCCTTTTCGGGTGCTTATAAGTCTACTTACTACCTATTTACTAAGTCCCCAGACCCTCCAAGTAGGGACTCTTGAGACCTACCTTTTTAAGGAACTATATATATGTACAGAAACCATAATAAGGAACCCTAAAAAGGTAGGTCTTTCCGGCTACAGGTAGGGTTTAGGACCCCAAAACCCAAAAGCCTAGTTTGCGGGCCTGATTCTTCCCTTTGGTCTTGCCGGACTTCTTCGTCCCCTGTCAAGGGTAGGGTAGTAGTAGTAGTAGTAGTAGTAGTAGTAGTAGTAGTAGTAGTAGTAGTAGTAGTAGTAGTAGGGTAGGGTGGGTAGGGTAGTAGTAGGGTAGGGTGTAGTAGGGTAGGGTAGAGGCGGCTACGAGGCTTAGGGTTTCGGGCTGAGGGTTCAGGATTTTAGGGTTTAGGGTTCAGGGTTTAGGGTTTAGGATTTTAGGGTTTAGGGTTCGAGGTTTCAGTCAGCCCTCTAAACCGCCCCCCCCCAGCAACAAAACATAAAAATAGAAAACCGCCTCTTTAAATAGCCCTCGGGTTTAGATTTCGAACAATGGAACAGCAATCTACCCCATTCCTAACTTGGCTGACTTCTGAACCCCTCCTAAACGTTAAACTTTTAGCCTCCTTGTTATAGTTCATATAAACTCGAAAAGTTAAAGTCCTAAGAGCCAACCAGAAGAACGCCAAGCTAAGGTGAAGCCAGTCGCAAAGCACGTCTTGGATTTACTTCTTGGCCGGTCTCGGGGTTCGCCGCGTCTCTGGCCTTCTTCTCAACTTGCGTCATGCTTAAAGGGTCCTGGGACTTAGTAACTAGGCTTACAATTAGGGTAACTATACTTATAATTGCTTATAACCCCAATTAGGGTACTTATAACCCTACTTACTGAGTCCCATGATCCTCCAAGTGGTGGAGTCTGCTTTGGCCATAGCCTCCGCCCAGACGTGCGGCATTCTCTCTTGGTCATGCTGCTGGTGCTTTGGCTGAGCACATGTCAGGAGCTCGTAGGCGGCGACCACGGCCCGATGGTCCCAAGGGTGGGAGGTTATTGAGGGTTTGGGGTTTAGGGGTCTAGTTTAGGCTCGGTGTTCGGGTTGTTCATGTCTTTGGCAGGGTTGAAGGGTTTAGGGTTTGTTGTCGGGGAAGGCAACTCTTGCCAGTTTAGATTTCAAGGGCTTAGGGCTCTTGGGCTTTAGAGTTCTGGGGCCGTCGTGTTCTGGGGTCTAATAGTTCAAGGGTCATTTGAAGCAGCCTGCCATTTCATCTACTTACTTCAAGGGTCAAAGGAGGGCCATCATACAACCCGAATGAATCGTAAGCCAAAAGGCTGCTATGATTGCGCCGCTGGGCTCAGAAAGTCTAAATTTTCACCCCAGCTGTTCCAAGCCGAATACGATGCAGTTGACTCGCCTTAAGGTGGCTTTCTTTTGGTGGGTTCTGCTCCATTCTTGATTCATCTCTGCTGTTCAGGAGAATACTCTACTCCGGACCTCAAACTTACCTTTGGTTAGTAGGGAATGGAGGAATCGGGTACAATTAGAACTACTATTACTACCATTCTTCCATTCCCTACTAACCAAAGGTAAGCAAAGACGAAGGGGACGTCCCCTGTCTCTGCACCCCCCTCAGCCCTGAAACCCGAAAGACCCTGAACCCCAAACCCTACTGAAAGGGTCATGGGACTTAGTCACTAAGGTTATAATTAGGTAACTATACTTATAATTACTTATAGCCCCAAGTAGGGTACTTATAGCCCTACTTTCTAAGTCCCATGATCCTCCAAGTAAACACTGAAACCTAAACGGTGCCTTGGTCTTGCCAGAGGCCTGAGAGGCCTGTCCAACGAAGGGGTTCGAGCGGATCGGGCTTCGCGCAGGGAGTCGGGCTTGTGTGAGGGGTTTAGGGTTTAGGGTTAACGGTTTAGGCTCAGTGTGTAGAGTTTGGGAATAGGGCTTCGGGTTTAGGGATTCGGGTTTGGGGTTTAAGGTTTAGGGGCTAGGGATTAGGGCAGGGCAGCTTCGCTTGAAGGTGTGCGGTCACGCCTGAGCAGCCCGAGTATGGTAGGAGGCCGAGTACAATCTCAGACAGAGTCCTCACTCAAGTCCTCCTCAAAACCTGGATCCTAAATCTTACACCCAAGACCTGAAAACCCCCAACCTTGAACCCAAAGAGGCGCAGGTCTGGCCTTTAAGACCTCCGATTTCGTCCGCGCCATGATGAGAACAGCAAGTTCTCAGAGCCCAATGAAACTCTGTGGGTCCTTCAAAGACCCTAAACCCATAACCACCCTGGGCACTAAAGCCTAAGCTACTGGAGAACTGGGAAGTTTCAAGATCTTCAAGCTTCAGAGCCGCAGATGAAAGCATGTGAATGAAGGCTCGAGCCTAAACTTTCTTCTGTCGAGGCGCACCATTGATTCGGCTCTTAATCCCTGACCGGAAATCCGAAACCCTCACCCCTGAACCTTGAACCCTCAACCCCAATCCTGAAAACATAAACCTCGACCCTTGCAGCCTAACCTTTAAATCCCAAATTATAGCTCCCCATGTCCTGCAGCCAAATCCTCAAACCCTCAGGCCTTGTCCTCAAAACCTTAAGCACTCTAGTAGCATGTTTGGACCGAGACTCTTTTGCCGAGCAGGGCTGCGGCATGCAGACCATAAAGATTCATCTTACTCACCCGCCGCTTTGTTGCTACTACCGCTGCGCTTCACACGAATATCTGCAACGTATCTGAGGCTGCTGCAGAAGCAGCAACAGCAATACTCCTTCTGCTGCTCTGACCACTACCACCACCACCAACACCGTTGCTTTCCCACCGTACTGTTTGGTGGCAATTACTTCACCATCGCTGGCACAGCTGTTGCCGGTATGCACCGCTGTCATCGTGATGGTTTAGATATCACCATTCTTCGTATATCATGAGCCTGGTTGCCGTCACTCGCATGAGCATCCTGCAAACCGACTCTATAATGTCCAGAGAGTTCAGAAGAAGTACTTTCCAACCAGCCTGTCATCAAAATGGTAGGGTGTAGGGCCTGTTGAGCTTGGGGGAACAACCGTCATGACAGTTTCTAGGGTTTAAGGGGCTTTGCATTGTAGGGCTACGCAGCGTAAAGCACTACACCTCCCAAGTAAAATCCTGCGAAATACCATCCCGATACAGAGAAGGGGCACATGGACGAAGCTTGCAACCTCCTAACCCCTAAACCCTAAGTGGCGTCTTTTGGGGATGGACTCCTGCTCTTACCCCCCCCCCTCCCCCAATAATATTAACGGTTTAGGGTAACCACGGAAATTAAAGGTTGCCGTAAATTTCCCGATTCCTACTGAACTATGAGCACCCAGCAAGTTTAAAGGTTTGGTATTGGAGATCTAGGTGCTCGCCCACCAAGTCCCGGGTTCAGGGTTTAGGGTTTGGAATTGTCAAGTCCTAACATGGATACAATACCCGCTTCCTAAGACTCCTTGGTGCCGTCGCAATCCTGCCGTTGAAAGGGTGTTCCCAAAGTGTCATGACACTGCCTGGGGAATGAAAGCAGTCGCATCAAAACACCGAGAAGGACCTCAGGCTGGAGGTAACTGGGAACCTCAACCCTAGACCGATAACATGAAGCCAGCCAAAAACCCGAAACCTAATCTTGCAGCAGCTTTCTACAAACCTGACAGTAGACAGCCTTCTGGTAAAATTTTCTGTAGGGCATTCTTCCGAAAGACTGCCATCCTGATTTTGCTCAGCGCCGTTTCTTGCGATTTGTCCGCTCCTTTGTCCTGGGCGGGCAGGTGAAGCCGAAACAACCCTGCACCAAGGTGGAATCTTGTCGATGCCTCCCGGCCTCCCGTAACCAGGCCGGCCATAAGACCGTTTGACCTTAAGGGTTCCTTCAAGCGCTCCTTTTTAGGCTACTATAAGGTTCTATAGGGTTCTTTTAAGAGTTGCGATAGGGGCTTTGCAACGATTACGGTGAGGGTTCTAGACATCGTTCCCTGGAATGCGGCATCAATGCAAACTCTGCACGATGTGTTGCTGCATTGAGCAAAGTCCCGAACGCCGGACCCCGATAATGTTACCTATACAACTTTGGTGGTTCCTTAGTATACGTATAGTATAGGATACCCCAAAAAACCTATTCCAATTCTTAGTTGCCGAGTTCATTAGCCCAACAAAGTTTAAACTTTCAGTTTTAGACAGGGTTTCATTATTGCAGAAAGTTTAAAGTTTATCAACCCAACTACTAAGAATTATAAAGGCCCCTACCATGGGGTACTGAGCTTCAGGTTTCAAAAGGGTTCGGGCCCAGGAACATGTAAACCCTAAAAAACCCCTGAGCCCCTCAACCCTGAAACCTAAACGCCTAAGCCCTATATGGAACCATTATAGATCCCTCTAAGGAGCCCTTATAGGCCCCTTTAAAGGAACCCCTAAACCCCTGAAACGCCTAAAGCTCCCAAAGAAGCACGCGAAAAACCGGGCGTCCGGCGGGGCGCTCTCCGTGCCCGAGCGTGCAAGCCGGCAGCGCGAGGCCTGGGAGGGGGCTCGGACCTTCCAATATTGGACTTTGAAGTAACCAGGGAGAAAAGAGTATAGACTTTTATTTCAGAATGGCTCCTTTAAGGAACAGGTACCAAAAAAAGTGTTCAAGTATGGTGCTCCAAACCCAGGAATATCCGTTAATTAAAGGATGTACCTTAAAGGGTTCTTTACAGGATCTATGGGGTTTAAGGTTGAAGGGGTTCTAATTAGCCCTTAACCAAGGAATATGCCTTGAATTATAGTAGGATCTCTATAATGTGCTTTAAAGCATATTCCTTTAAATCAAGGGATGTTGGAAGGTCGAGGGAGGACACTCAAAAGCCACGCGCTTGCAGAAACATCTCACAGGTTAGGGTTGAGGATTCAGGGTTTAGGGGTTCAGGGTTTGGGGTTTAGGGTTTTAGGGTTTAGGGTTTATTTAGGGTTTAAGGTTTAGGGTTGAGGGTTCAGGGTTTTGGGGTCGAGGGTGCACGTAGGGGTTTAGGGCTCAGACTGAGACTTTTATGACTTCTATGACATCCATTGGTCCATGCGTTGATATGGGTTTTGGGCCCCTGGCAATAGAGGGTGCACCAATTGCTTCGCGGCTTTTGCGTGGAGGGTTAAACACCGTCGTCTTGAGGATCTAGATATTTTACAGACTTATATGTACCATAACCCCAATTAGGAACCCTTTTAGGGTGCTTACAAGTCTACTTATTAGCTACTTACTAAGTCCCATACCCTCCATTCTAGAACCCCTTATAGATCCCTTTAAGGATCTCTTTACCTTAAGGAGCCCTTTAAGGAGACCTACTTACTAAGTCCCCCGACCCTCCAAGTTAAAGAAAGTCGACTTGGGGTGGGGGTGTCGGGTCGGGCTTCAGCCCCCATAGTTTTTTCGGCTGGGCTTGGGATTCTCCAAGGGTAAAAGGAGGGACCCTTTAAGGGTCCCTTTAAAGGGATCTTTAGGGATTCTATAAGGGTATAGGGTTTAGGGTTGAGGGGTTTGGGGGTTTAGGGGGTTTAGGGTTAAAGGAGGGACCCTTAATAAGGACCCCTAGGTACTATACCCCCCTTAATATAGCTCTTATATACCCACTATATGGAGTCCCCATTAAGGGTCCTTCCTTTCCCCTTTGAGATTGTACACTTTCAAGCGAGCTTTCTTGTAGAGTTTCGGGCTTAGGGCCACAAACCCTAAACCCTAAACCCTAAACCCTAAACCCTAAACCCTAAACCCTAACCCCAAACTTCCTCAACCCTGAAGTCTGCTCGCGCCACCCGATGCCCAGAGTTTCTGAAAGAAACAACCCCGAAACCCCAAAGCCTGTGGCACGAAACAGAAAACCTGAAATTGACGACTCGCCCCTACACCGCTTATAAGTAAATTGAACGGGATCCTCGTTGGGATTATGGTACTTGTAACAGCTTACAAAATGACTAGTTACCAAGTCCCTCGACCCTCCAAGGAGGTACCTTCAACCTTTCACTTCATCGTGGGTCATCCTAAACCCTCAACCCTAAACCCCAAACCCTAAACCCTAAACCCTAAACCCTTAACCCTAAACCCCAAACCCTAAACCCTTAACCCTAAACCCTAAACCCTAAACCCTAAACCCTAACCCCAAACCCTAAACCCTTAACCCTAAACCCCAAACCCTAAACCCTTAACCCTAAACCCCAACCCTAAACCCTTAACCCCTAAACCCCAACCCTAAACCCTTAACCCTAAACCCCAAACCCTAAACCCTTAACCCTAAACCCCAAACCCTAAACCCTTAACCCTAAACCCCAAACCCTAAACCCTTAACCCTAAACCCTTAACCCTAAACCCCAAACCCTAAACCCTAAACCCTCAACCCTAAACCCCAAACCGTGGGCCTTGGGATCACTGACCCTGAGCTCGAGACCAGCTTTCGGCGCGTCAACTCCGCTTGCTTGGCCGCTTCCTTCGAGGAATTTAGGGGTTCCTTTAAAGGGTTCCTCTAAAGGGATCCTTTAAAGGGAGTTAGGGTTTAGGGGTTTAGGGGTTTAGGGGTTTAGGGGTTTAGGGGTTATGGGGTTTAGGGCTTTAGGGCTTTAGGGGTTTAGGGGTTTGGGGGTTTGGGGGTTTGGGGGTTTAGGGTTCCTTCGAAGAAGGTTAGCTTCGGGGTTTAGGGCTGGGGGACATCTGGTTTGTGGGTTAAGGAAGAGCTAATAGGGCCCAAAAAAAGCACATATGCAAAACTTAGGATAGGGAGACCCATATAAATCCCCTTATCATGAAGCCCAATAAGGCAGGGATATCGCCATGAAATGCTTATGCTTATGTGCTTTTTGGGTCCCTAAAGCTAGAGTGTCCCTGAACCGTATGATCTTTGTGGCAAGGACTGTGAGACAACAACGACCACCAGCGGCCGGGGCACCGAATAAACGGGATCCTGCGGCAAATTCCCGTAGAACTCTGCACTTCCCGAGGGGATTACAACCCTGAAGCTTGGCGACCAGTTATGACCCAAGCAAGCAAGCCGCATTAATGCTAGCTGAACCTGAGCCGTAAGTACTCATGAACCGCACCAAGCTGCTGACGAACCAATTTCTGTCGAAGAACTTTCAGTTTTATAGTGGGTAGTCCCCAAGTGTAAAATTCCACTCAACTACTAAGGTTAGGGTGCTTGAAGTAGTGCGGGGTTGCAGCCTTAAGCCCTGAGTCCCAAACA